TACCATAAACAGTGAAAAGAAACATAAGAAAGATCGAGAAAATTCGTGTTAGAATTATTAATCTTACTTTTTCGGTCATATTTAATAATATATGTCTACAGGAAAGACTGCTACCAAAATATACTAATATATATATATATATGTGTGTGTATAGTAGTTGCAGTATTAACGTAATTTTGGTAGAATTTGGTGAGTGACTAGGCTGTCGCTGGAGACCGCCGTCGCTCTGTCGAGTAACGTAATTCTCGGGAGTGTTTATCGGCCTGCGGGATCGATAAATCACTCACCCATGTGATTTAGGGAGTACGAGATCTCCTTAGTGTTCCCAATAACGTTTGATAGCTGTAGGCTACATGTGTCAACAGTAATTATATATATATATGATCGTAGTGTCACGGTGCCCAGTGTTGTTGTGCTGGTTGATACCTGGTTGATGGGGTTCTGGGAGTTCTTCTACTCCCCAAGCCCGGCCCGAGGCCAGGCTCGACTTGTGAGAGTTAGGTCCACCAGGCTGTTGCTTGGAGCGGCCCGCAGGCCCACATACCCACCACAGCCCGGTTGGTCCGGCATTCCTTGGAGGAATAAATCTAGTTTCCTCTTGAAAATGTCCACGGTTGTTCCGGCAATATTTCTTATGCTTGCTGGGAGGACGTTGAACAACTGCGTACCTCTGATGTTTATACAGTGTTCTCTGATTGTGCCTATGGCACCTCTGCTCTATTTACTATGCTAATAGCACCTCTGTGCTATTTACTGTGGTGATTGCAAATTGTGGACCTATGTTCTAAGGGGTAATGAAAGCACTGGGGTCATTTGCAACAGTAAGTGTGTGCAGTATTCTAATATTTGGAAATTAGAGTACTTGCCGTGTGTGTTATTGCAAAGGGGTTGTCATTGTTAGTGATTGTTGCTAGTGTTGAGCAATCACCGTATGTGATTGCAGTTCAGTAAAGTTATTGTGGGGCAGTGTTCTAGAGGGTTCATGTCCTGTATGTTATTTTACTAGGTTCTGCAGTATTATCATTGCAACCTGACTGTAAGGTAAATCACCGTGATTTGTTAGTGTGATTTGTCATTGTCGTGGGTGAACTCGGCTGTTGACGAGTACTTGGGTTTTATATTCTCCTGTTTATCTGGTAGGACATTAAAGTCCAGTATTCAGGGAGGTGATTGCGAGGCAATTAATATAACGTAACCAAGGGAACGCCTTATTGCTTTAAGAGAATTTTTTCTTTGACAATTTGAGTAACGTAGAATACGTTTGGGTTAATTTACTTTCCTGCCAAGCAGCTACGGTAGTCTCAAGGAGCCTAGCCAGCAGCCAGATAAGAACTAGAGTATTGTCTGTCGTAATTAACGGTCAGTGGACCGGGTAATTGACGTGTTTCAGGAAGTCAAAGAAATTAACCTCGATCCTTGTTTGATCGACTCACACGAAGGCTCCATTGTTCCATTAACGTAACGTCGTTATTTATCTGTCCGGAAGTACCAGCACTTGATTGACTCGTGGGAGGAGTAACGTCATTTTAGAATAACGTAAACGTGGTGCTAATTACTGTTATTAGCCACCTGAATTGGTCTGAGTATGGAAGGCTTAGACGGAATTTATACCTTAATGTAAATTGCTGAGCCAGTGTGAAAGGTTGCGTATTTTAATTGTTTAATTATTTATTTTGAGGATAGTAATTAATTACTCTAAAGGTAATCACAAGTGATTACCGTTCTCTTAGCACTTTGGACATTGTAAATCAGAGTTTATCATCGCTGAGTGATTAGTAACCGATTAACGTAAATTAACGCAACTAGAAAGGAGATTAATCAGCTGTCTAGTAGTACAGAGATTAATGGGATTTACCCACTGAATGCTCGACGGGTAGAGTGCTGTGTAATTTCCGCGTTACTAGTGACAGTTGTAAGAGTTATTAAATTAACTTAAATTTTATGTTATTATTAACGTAAATGTTATAGTGTTATTAACGTAAATCAAATTGTTATTGATTGTTGATCATCCGTGGGACGGAGTGTTAACGTAAGGATTAATTTGAGGAAGGGTTGCTGGAGTTGCCAGTGAACCCATTAGTTATTGTTGTCATTGAAAGGCTACTGATTTGATTACATTGCAACTGCTATTGCTGGTATAGACTGCACAGAGGCGTAGAACAGTAGGAGGTTACTGGAGACGTGTTTCAGAACCCACTGTGTCATTTGTTGTAATTGTGATTATATTTCTGTTAATTCTTGTTCCTTGTTGATTCCTCTGTGTGCTCGCTTATGTTCGAGTTAGTTCATTATGCAGTCCGAGGGGCTGGTGTCTAGCTGTCATTGATAGTGTCACAGGAAGGATTTTGAGTAACGTCATTGACATTTCTTTTTGTTTTTGTTGTAGTAGTTAGTACTTTATTAAATAAACTAAGTTGTTATGGTTAACACTGTCTTTTCGTTACACTCCACACATCATAATTGTTATGCAAGTGTTTTTCACACTCGACTAATCAAATTGAGACTGATTCTGAGTTTTGGACCAAATATACGGCACCACACAACAATAAATTATTGTTGTGAGAGCCCAGGACCTACTCGTTAGATTCGCTGCAGCGAATGGCGAATGTCGTCGGCCCAAGTGGAGGGGATTTAAATTTTTATTGGGGTCTCAGCGTTTGCTCGCGCCTAGTCAATTGTTCATATATGGTCCCAAAGTGAGGAATGAGCTGCTTACTACACTGGTGTGTTAGCTAAGCAAGTCCTTCCTCAGGCGACCTAATTAAATATCACGACTGGAATAAAGGTTAAAGAATACAAAAAATTCTTAGAAATTTTCCTAGCTCAATTCCTTATACCAATTTCATTTATTCCCACTTAATTTAAGTCACTAAACTCTCACACTAGCCAGCACAGAAGCCTTACAGCAACTTGCATAACTAATACGCCTTTAACCCACTGCACCAAACTCAGACCCTAGAGCTAGTGAGGGGTCACTCACATTCTTTCATCAAATTCCTGTTAATATGGAGAACTCTGTGTCTATGCTTAATGCACAACTTGCCTAAACACGCAAGAACACGTGCATTAAGCATAGACACAGAGTTCTCCCATATTATTATCATTCAACGATGGTAAACTCTGATTTTACAATGTCCAACGTGCTAAGAGAACGGTAATCATTAGTGATTATCTTTAGAGTTATTAATTACTCTCCTAAAGATCAATAATTAAAAAATACGCCACCTTACACACTGGCTCAGCAATTTACATTAAGGTATGAATTCTGTCCGAGGCTTCCATACTCAGACAAATTCAGGTGATTAAGGACGCTAATCACCACGTTTATGTTATTCTTAAATGATGTTACTCTTCCCACGAGTCAATCAAGTGCCGATACTTCCGGACAGATAAATAACGACGTTACGTTAATGGAGCAATGGAGCCTTCGTGTGAGTCGATCAAACAAGGATCGAAGATAATTATTTTGACTTCCTGAAGCACGTCAATTACCCGGCCCACTGACCGTTAATTACGACAGACAATACTCTTATTCTTATCTGGCTGATCTTATCTTATTCTTTTCAGCATGAAGAGCACAGTCAGCATGAAGAGCACAGTGAGCATGAAGAGCATAGTGAGCATGAAGAGTGCAGTGAGCATGAAGAGCACAGTGAGCATGATTAGCACAGTGAGCATGAAGAGTACAGTGAGCATGAAGACCACAGTGAACATAGAGAGCATGAGGAGTAAAGTGACTATGAAGAGCATAGTGAGCATGAGGAGCACAGTGAGCATGAGGAGCATAGTTAGCATGAAGAGCACGGTGACACTGAAGAGCAGAGCGAGCATGAAGGGCATAGTGACCATGAAGAGCATAATGACCATGAGGAGCACAATGAGCATGAAGAGCATAGCGAACGTGAAGAGCACAGTGAGCATGAGGAGAACAGCGAGCATGAAGAGCACAGTGAGCATGAAGAGCACAGTGAGCATAAAGGGCACAGTGAGCATGAAAAGCACAGTGAGCCTGAATAGCACAGCGAGCATAAAGAGCACAGTGAGCATGAGGAGCACAGAGAGCATGAAGAGCACAGTGAGCATGAAGAGCGCAGTGAGCATAAAGAGCATAGTGAGCATGAAGAGTACAGTGACCATGAAGAGCACAGTGAGCATAAAGAGCATAGTGAGCTTGAAGAGCACAGTGACCATGAAAAGCACAGTGATCATGAACAGCATAGTGATCAAGAAGAGCACAGTGAGCATGAGGAGCACAGTGAGCATGAAGAGCACAGTGATCATGAAGAGCACAGTGAGCATGAAGAGCACAGTGATCATGAAGAGCATAGTGACCATGAAGAGCATAGTGATCACGAAGAGCATAGTGAGCATAAGGAGCACAGTGATCATGAAGAGCACAGTAAATCATGAAGAGCACAGTGATCATGAAGAGCATAGTGATCAAGAAGAGCACAGTGAGCATGAAGAGCACAGTGAGCATAAAGATCATAGTGATTATGAAGAGCATAGTGAGCATGAAGAGCATAAAGCGCATGAAGAGCACAGTGACCATGAAGAGCACAGTGACCATGAAGAGCACAGTGAGCATAAAGAGCAAAGTGAGCATGAAGAGCACAGTGATTATGAGGAGCACAGTGAGCATGAGGAGCACAGTAAGCAAGAAGAGCATAGTGAGCATGAAGAGTACAATGACCAGGAAGAGCACAGTGAGCATGAAGAGTACAGTGAGCATTAAGAGCATATTGAGCATGAAGAGCACAGTGACAATGAAGACCATATTGAGCATGAAGAGCACAGTGAGCTTTAGGAGCATAGTGAGCATGAAAAGCAGAGTTAGCATGAAGAGCATAGTGAGCATGAAGAGCACAGTGAGCAAGAAGGGCACAGTGAGCATGAAGAATACAGTGAGCATGAAGATCACAGTGAGCACGAAGAGTACAGTGAACATGAACAGCACAGTGAGCATGAAGAGCAGAGTGAGCATGAAGAGTACAGTGAGCATGAAGAGCATAGTGAACATGAGGAGTACAGTGAGCATGAAGAGCATACTGAGCATGAACAGCAAAGTGAGCATGAAAAGCATAGTGAGCATGAAGAACAGTGACCATAAAGACCTTAGAGAGCATGAAGAACACAGTGAGCATGAGGAGTACAGTGAGTATGAAGAGCACAGTGAGCATGAAGAGCATAGTGAGCATGAGGAGCACAGTGAGCATGAGGAGCATAGTTAGCATGAAGAGCACGGTGACAATGAAAAGCATAGTGTGCATGTAGAGCATAGTGACAATGAAGAGCTTAGTGACCATGATGAGCACAGTGAGCATGAAGAGCATAGAGACCGTGAAGAGCACAGTGAGCATGATGAGCAGAATGTGCATGAAGATCACAGTGAGCATGAAGAGCACAGTGAGCATGAGGAGCACAGTGAGAATGAAGAGCGCAGTGAGCACGAAGAGCACAGTGAGCATGAGGAGAACAGTAAGCATGAAGTGCACATTGAGCATGAAAAGGACAGTGAGCATGAAGAGCACCGTGAGCATGAGGAGCACAGTGAACATGAAGAGCACAGTGAACATGAAGAGCAGAGTGAGCATGAAGAGCACAGTGATCATGAAGAGCACAGTGAGCATGAGGCGCAGAGTGAGCATGAAGAGCATAGTGAGCATGAAGAGCACGGTGACATTGAAGAGCTTAGTGAGCATGAAGATTCTAGTGACCTTGAAGAGCATAGTGAGCATGGAGAGTACAGTGAGCATGAAGAGCACAGTGAGCGTGAAGAGAACAGTGCGCATGAAGAGTACAGTGAGCATGAAGAGCACAGTGAGCGTATAGAGCACCGTGAGCATGAAGAGCACAGTGAGCATGAAGAGCACAGTGAGCGTGAAGAGCACAGTGATTATGAAGAGCACAGTGATTATGAGGAGCACAGTGAGCATGAAGAGCACAGTGATCATAAAGAAAGCAGCGAGCATGAAGAGCACAGTGAGCATGAAGAGCATAGTGCGCATGAAGAGTCTTGTGACCATGAAGAGCATAGTGACCATGAAGTGCACAGTGAGCATGAAGAGCATAGTGACCATGAAGAGCACAGTGAGCATGAAGAGCATAGTTAGCGTGAAGAGCACAGTGAGCGTGAGCAGCACAGTGAGCATGAGGAGCACAGTGAGCATGAAGAGCATAGTGACCATAAAGAACATAGTGATCATGAAGAGCATAGTGAGCATGAAGAGTACAGGAAGAATGAAGAGTACAGTGAGCATGAGGAGCAGAGTGAGCATGAAGAGCATAGTGACCATTAAGAGCATAGTGATCATGAAGAGCATAGTGAGCATGAGGAGTACAGGATGCATGAAGAGTACAGTGAGCATGAGGAGCAGAGTGAGCATGAAGAGCATAGTGAGCATGAAGAGCACGGTGACATTGAAGAGCATAGTGAGCATAAAGATTCTAGTGACCATGAAGAGCATAGTGAGCATGGAGAGTACAGTGAGCATGAAGAGCACAGTGAGCGTGAAGAGAACAGTGCGCATGAAGAGTACAGTGAGCATGAAGAGCACAGTGAGCATGAAGAGTACAGTGAGCATGAAGAGTACAGTGAGCATGAAGAACACAGTGAGCAAGAAGAGCACAGTCAGCATGAAGAGCTCAGTCAACAGAAAGAGCATAGTCAGCATGAAGAGCACAGTAAGCATGAAGAGCACAGTGAGCATGAAGAGCATAGTGAGCATGAAGAGTACAGTGAGCATGAAGACCACAGTGAACATAAAGAGCATAGTGAGCATGATGAGTAAAGTGACTATAAAGAGCACAGTGAGCATGAAGAGCATAGTGAGCATGAGGAGCACAGTGAGCATGAAGAGCATAGTTAGCATGAAGAGCACGGAGACAATGAAGAGTAGAGTGAGCATGAAGAGCATGTTGACCATGAAGAGCATAATGACCATGAGGAGCACAGTGAGCATTAGGAGCATAGTGAACGTGAAGAGCACAGAGAGCATGAGGAGCACAGTGAGTATGAAGAGCACAGTGAGCATGAAGAGCACAGTTTGCATGAAGGGCACAGTGAGCATGAAGAGCACAGTGAGCGTGAGGAGCACAGTGAGCATGAAGAGCACTATGAGCATGAACAGCAGCGTGAGCATGAAGAGCATAGTGACCATCAAGAGCATAGTGATCATGAAGAGCATAGTGAGCATGAAGAGTACAGTGAGCATGAAGAGTACAGTGAGCATGAAGAACACAGTGAGCAAGAAGAGCACAGTCAGCATGAAGAGCTCAGTCAACAGAAAGAGCATAGTCAGCATGAAGAGCACAGTAAGCATGAAGAGCACAGTGAGCATGAAGAGCATAGTGAGCATGAAGAGTACAGGAAGCATGAAGAGTACAGTGAGCATGAGGCGCAGAGTGAGCATGAAGAGCATAGTGAGCATGAAGAGCACGGTGACATTGAAGAGCTTAGTGAGCATGAAGATTCTAGTGACCATGAAGAGCATAGTGAGCATGGAGAGTACAGTGAGCATGAAGAGCACAGTGAGCGTGAAGAGAACAGTGCGCATGAAGAGTACAGTGAGCATGAAGAGCACAGTGAGCGTATAGAGCACCGTGAGCATGAAGAGCACAGTGAGCATGAAGAGCACAGTGAGCGTGAAGAGCTCAGTGATCATAAAGAAAGCAGCGAGCATGAAGAGCACAGTGAGCATGAAGAGTATAGTGACCATGAAGAGCATAGTGATCACGAAGAGCATAGTGAGCATGAGGAGCACAGTGATTATGAAGAGCACAGTAAATCATGAAGAGCACAGTGATCATGAAGAGCATAGTGATCAAGAAGAGCACAGTGAGCATGAAGAGCACAGTGAGCATAAAGATCATAGTGATTATGAAGAGCATAGTGAGCATGAAGAGCATAAAGCGCATGAAGAGCACAGTGACCATGAAGAGCACAGTGACCATGAAGAGCACAGTGAGCATAAAGAGCAAAGTGAGCATGAGGAACACAGTGATTATGAGGAGCACAGTGAGCATGAGGAGCACAGTAAGCAAGAAGAGCATAGTGAGCATGAAGAGTACAATAACCAGGAAGAGCACAGTGAGCATGAAGAGTACAGTGAGCATTAAGAACATATTGAGCATGAAGAGCACAGTGACAATGAAGACCATATTGAGCATGAAGAGCACAGTGAGCTCTAGGAGCATAGTGAGCATGAAAAGCAGAGTTAGCATGAAGAGCATAGTGAGCATGAAGAGCACAGTGAGCAAGAAGGGCACAGTGAGCATGAAGAATACAGTGAGCATGAAGATCACAGTGAGCACGAAGAGTACAGTGAACATGAACAGCACAGTGAGCATGAAGAGCAGAGTGAGCATGAAGAGTACAGTGAGCATGAAGAGCATAGTGAACATGAGGAGTACAGTGAGCATGAAGAGCATACTGAGCATGAACAGCAAAGTGAGCATGAAAAGCATAGTGAGCATGAAGAATACAGTGACCATAAAGACCTTAGAGAGCATGAAGAACACAGTGAGCATGAGGAGTACAGTGAGCATGAAGAGCACAGTGAGCATGAAGAGCATAGTGAGCATGAGGAGCACAGTGAGCATGAGGAGCACAGTGAGAATGAAGAGCGCAGTGAGCACGAAGAGCACAGTGAGCATGAGGAGAACAGTAAGCATGAAGTGCACATTGAGCATGAAAAGGACAGTGAGCATGAAGAGCACCGTGAGCATGACGAGCACAGTGAACATGAAGAGCACAGTGAACATGAAGAGCAGAGTGAGCATGAAGAGCACAGTGATCATGAAGAGCACAGTGAGCATGAAAAGCACAGTGAGCATGAAGAGCATAGTGAGCATGAAGAGTACATTGAGCATGAAGAGTACAGTGACCATGAAAAGCACAGTGAGCATGAAGACCTTAGTGAGCATGATCAGCACAGTGAGCATGACGAGCATAGTGAGCGTGAAGAGAAGGGTGACACTGAAGAGCATAGTGACCATAAAGTGCACAGTGAGCATTAAGAGCACAGTGAGCGTGAAGAGCACAGTGAACATGAAGCACATAGTGAGCGTGAAGAGCACAGTGAGCATGAAGAGCATAGTGAGCATGAAGAGCACAGTGAGCATGAAGAGCATAGTTAGCGTGAAGAGCATAGTTAGCGTGAAGAGCACAGTGAGCATGAAGAGCACAGTGAGCATGAGGATCACAATGAGCATGAGGAGCACAGTGAGCGTGAAGAGCACAGTTAACATGAAGAGTACAGAGAGCATGAAGAGTACAGTGAGCATGAAGAGCACAGTGAGCATGAAGAGTACAGTGAGCATGAAGAGCACAGTGAACATGAAAAGCACAGTGAGCGTGAAGAGTACAGTGAGCATGAAGAGTACAGTGAGCATGAAGAGTACAGTGAGCATGAAGAACACATTGAGCAAGAAGAGCACAGTCAGCATGAAGAGCTCAGTCAACAGAAAGAGCATAGTCAGCATGAAGAGCACAGTAAGCATGAAGAGCACAGTGAGCATGAAGAGCATAGTGAGCATGAGGAGCACAGTGAGCATGAAGAGCATAGTTAGCATGAAGAGCACGGAGACAATGAAGAGTAGAGTGAGCATGAAGAGCATGTTGACCATGAAGAGCATAATGACCATGAAGAGCACAGTGAGTATGAAGAGCACAGTGAGCATGAAGAGCACAGTTTGCATGAAGGGCACAGTGAGCATGAAGTGCACAGTGAGCGTGAGGAGCACAGTGAGCATGAAGAGCACTATGAGCATGAAGAGCAGCGTGAGCATGAAGAGCATAGTGACCATCAAGAGCATAGTGATCATGAAGAGCATAGTGAGCATGAAGAGTATAGGAAGCATGAAGAGTACAGTGAGCATGAGGCGCAGAGTGAGCATGAAGAGCATAGTGAGCATGAAGAGCACGGTGACATTAAAGAGCTTAGTGAGCATGAAGATTCTAGTGACCATGAAGAGCATAGTGAGCATGGAGAGTACAGTGAGCATGAAGAACACAGTGAGCGTGAAGAGAACAGTGCGCATGAAGAGTACAGTGAGCATGAAGAGCACAGTGAGCATGAAAAGCACAGTGAGCGTGAAGAGTACAGTGAGCATGAAGAGTACAGTGAGCATGAAGAGTACAGTGAGCATGAAGAACACAGTGAGCAAGAAGAGCACAGTCAGCATGAAGAGCTCAGTCAACAGAAAGAGCATAGTCAGCATGAAGAGCACAGTAAGCATGAAGAGCACAGTGAGCATGAAGAGCATAGTGAGCATGAAGAGTACAGTGAGCATGAAGACCACAGTGAACATAAAGAGCATAGTGAGCATGATGAGTAAAGTGACTATAAAGAGCACAGTGAGCATGAAGAGCATAGTGAGCATGAGGAGCACAGTGAGCATGAAGAGCATAGTTAGCATGAAGAGCACGGAGACAATGAAGAGTAGAGTGAGCATGAAGAGCATGTTGACCATAAAAAGCATAATGACCATGAGGAGCACAGTGAGCATTAGGAGCATAGTGAACGTGAAGAGCACAGAGAGCATGAGGAGCACAGTGAGTATGAAGAGCACAGTGAGCATGAAGAGCACAGTTTGCATGAAGGGCACAGTGAGCATGAAGAGCACAGTGAGCGTGAGGAGCACAGTGAGCATGAAGAGCACTATGAGCATGAAGAGCAGTGTGAGCATGAAGAGCATAGTGACCATCAAGAGCATAGTGATCATGAAGAGCATAGTGAGCATGAAGAGTACAGGAAGCATGAAGAGTACAGTGAGCATGAGGCGCAGAGTGAGCATGAAGAGCATAGTGAGCATGAAGAGCACGGTGACATTGAAGAGCTTAGTGAGCATGAAGATTCTAGTGACCATGAAGAGCATAGTGAGCATGGAGAGTACAGTGAGCATGAAGAGCACAGTGAGCGTGAAGAGAACAGTGCGCATGAAGAGTACAGTGAGCATGAAGAGCACAGTGAGCGTATAGAGCACCGTGAGCATGAAGAGCACAGTGAGCATGAAGAGCACAGTGAGCGTGAAGAGCACAGTGATTATGAAGAGCACAGTGATTATGAGGAGCACAGTGAGCATGAAGAGCACAGTGATCATAAAGAAAGCAGCGAGCATGAAGAGCACAGTGAGCATGAAGAGCATAGTGACCAGGAAGAGCATAGTGATCACGAAGAGCATAGTGAGCATGAGGAGCACAGTGATCATGAAGAGCACAGTAAATCATGAAGAGCACAGTGATCATGAAGAGCATAGTGATCAAGAAGAGCACAGTGAGCATGAAGAGCACAGTGAGCATAAAGATCATAGTGATTATGAAGAGCATAGTGAGCATGAAGAGCATAAATCGCATGAAGAGCACAGTGACCATGAAGAGCACAGTGACCATGAAGAGCACAGTGAGCATAAAGAGCAAAGTGAGCATGAAGAGCACAGTGATTATGAGGAGCACAGTGAGCATGAGGAGCACAGTAAGCAAGAAGAGCATAGTGAGCATGAAGAGTACAATGACCAGGAAGAGCACAGTGAGCATGAAGAGTACAGTGAGCATTAGGAGCATATTGAGCATGAAGACCACAGTGACAATGAAGACCATATTGAGCATGAAGAGCGCAGTGAGCTTTAGGAGCATAGTGAGCATGAAAAGCAGAGTTAGCATGAAGAGCATAGTGAGCATGAAGAGCACAGTGAGCAAGAAGGGTACAGTGAGCATGAAGAATACGGTGAGCATGAAGATCACAGTGAGCACGAAGAGTACAGTGAACATGAACAGCACAGTGAGCATGAAGAGCAGAGTGAGCATGAAGAGTACAGTGAGCATGAAGAGCATAGTGAACATGAGGAGTACAGTGAGCATGAAGAGCATACTGAGCATGAACAGCAAAGTGAGCATGAAAAGCATAGTGAGCATGAAGAACACAGTGACGATAAAGACCTTAGAGAGCATGAAGAACACAGTGAGCATGAGGAGTACAGTGAGCATGAAGAGCACAGTGAGCATGAAGAGCATAGTGAGCATGAGGAGCACAGTGAGCATGAGGAGCATAGTTAGCATGAAGAGCACGGTGACAATGAAAAGCATAGTGTGCATGTAGAGCATAGTGACAATGAAGAGCTTAGTGACCATGATGAGCACAGTGAGCATGAAGAGCATAGAGACCGTGAAGAGCACAGTGAGCATGATGAGCAGAATGAGCATGAAGATCACAGTGAGCATGAAGAGCACAGTGAGCATGAGGAGCACAGTGAGAATGAAGAGCGCAGTGAGCACGAAGAGCACAGTGAGCATGAGGAGAACAGTAAGCATGAAGTGCACATTGAGCATGAAAAGGACAGTGAGCATGAAGAGCACAGTGAGCGTGAAGAGCACAGTGAACATGAAGCACATAGTGAGCGTGAAGAGCACAGTGAGCATGAAGAGCATAGTGAGCTTGAAGAGCACAGTGAGCATGAAGAGCATAGTTAGCGTGAAGAGCATAGTTAGCGTGAAGAGCACAGTGAGCATGAAGAGCACAGTGAGCATGAGGATCACAATGAGCATGAGGAGCACAGTGAGCGTGAAGAGCACAGTTAACATGAAGAGTTCAGAGAGCATAAAGAGTACAGTAAGCATGAAGAGCACAGTGAGCATGAAGAGTACAGTGAGCATGAAGAGCACAGTGAGCATGAAAAGCACAGTGAGCGTGAAGAGTACAGTGAGCATGAAGAGTACAGTGAGCATGAAGAGTACAGTGAGCATGAAGAACACAGTGAGCAAGAAAAGCACAGTCAGCATGAAGAGCTCAGTCAACAGAAAGAGCATAGTCAGCATGAAGAGCACAGTAAGCATGAAGAGCACAGTGAGCATGAAGAGCATAGTGAGCATGAAGAGTACAGTGAGCATGAAGGCCACAGTGAACATAAAGAGCATAGTGAGCATGATGAGTAAAGTGACTATAAAGAGCACAGTGAGCATGAAGAGCATAGTGAGCATGAGGCGCAGAGTGAGCATGAAGAGCATAGTGAGCATGAAGAGCACGGTGACATTGAAGAGCTTAGTGAGCATGAAGATTCTAGTGACCATGAAGAGCATAGTGAGCATGGAGAGTACAGTGAGCATGAAGAGCACAGTGAGCGTGAAGAGAACAGTGCGCATGAAGAGTACAGTGAGCATGAAGAGCACAGTGAGCGTATAGAGCACCGTGAGCATGAAGAGCACAGTGAGCATGAAGAGCACAGTGAGCGTGAAGAGCACAGTGATTATGAAGAGCACAGTGATTATGAGGAGCACAGTGAGCATGAAGAGCACAGTGATCATAAAGAAAGCAGCGAGCATGAAGAGCACAGTGAGCATGAAGAGCATAGTGCGCATGAAGAGTCTTGTGACCATGAAGAGCATAGTGACCATGAAGTGCACAGTGAGCATGAAGAGCATAGTGACCATGAAGAGCACAGTGAGCATGAAGAGCATAGTTAGCGTGAAGAGCACAGTAAGCATGAAGAGCACAGTGAGCGTGAGCAGCACAGTGAGCATGAGGAGCACAGTGAGCGTGAAGAGCATAGTGACCATAAAGAGCATAGTGATCATGAAGAGCATAGTGAGCATGAAGAGTACAGGAAGAATGAAGAGTACAGTGAGCATGAGGAGCAGAGTGAGCATGAAGAGCATAGTGACCATTAAGAGCATAGTGATCATGAAGAGCATAGTGAGCATGAGGAGTACAGGAAGCATGAAGAGTACAGTGAGCATGAGGAGCAGAGTGAGCATGAAGAGCATAGTGAGCATGAAGAGCACGGTGACATTGAAGAGCATAGTGAGCATAAAGATTCTAGTGACCATGAAGAGCATAGTGAGCATGGAGAGTACAGTGAGCATGAAGAGCACAGTGAGCGTGAAGAGAACAGTGCGCATGAAGAGTACAGTGAGCATGAAGAGCACAGTGAGCGTATAGAGCACCGTGAGCATGAAGAGCACAGTGAGCATGAAGAGCACAGTGATCATAAAGAAAGCAGCGAGCATGAAGAGCACAGTGAGCATGAAGAGCATAGTGCGCATGAAGAGTCTTGTGACCATGAAGAGCATAGTGACCATGAAGTGCACAGTGAGCATGAAGAGCATAGTGACCATGAAGAGCACAGTGAGCGTGAAGAGCACAGTGATTATGAGGAGCACAGTGAGCATGAAGAGCAAAGTGATCATAAAGAAAGCAGCGAACATGAAGAGCACAGTGAGCATGAAGAGCATAGTGAGCATGAAGAGTCTTGTGACCATGAAGAGCATAGTGACCATGAAGTGCACAGTGAGCATGAAGAGCATAGTGACCATGAAGAGCACAGTGAGCATGAAGAGCATAGTTAGCGTGAAGAGCACAGTGAGCGTGAGGAGCACAGTGAGCATGAGGAGCACAGTGAGCGTGAAGAGAAATGTGAGCATGAAGAGTACAGTGATAGTGACCATGAAGAGCACAGTGAGCATTAGGAGCATAGTGAACGTGAAGAGCACAGTGAGCATGAGGAGCACAGTGAGTATGAAGAGCACAGTGAGCATGAAGAGCACAGTTTGCATGAAGAGCACAGTTTGCATGAAGGGCAGAGTGAGCATGAAGAGCACAGTGAGCGTGAGGAGCACAGTGAGCATGAAGAGCACAATGAGCATGAAGAGCACAGTGAGCATGAAGAGCATTGTGACCATTAGGAGCATAGTGATCATGAAGAGCATAGTGAGCATGAAGAGTACAGTAAGCATGAAGAGTACAGTGAGCATGAGGAGCAGAGTGAGCATGAAGAGCATAGTGAAGATGAAGAGCACGGTGACATTAAAGAGCATAGTGAGCATGAAGATTCTATTGACCATGAAGAGCATATTGAGCATGGAGAGTACAGTGAGCATGAAGAGCACAGTGAGCGTGAAGAGAACAGTGCGCATGAAGAGTACAGTGAGCATGAAGAGCACAGTGAGCGTATAGAGCACCGTGAGCATGAAGAGCACAGTGAGCATGAAGAGCACAGTGAGCGTGAAGAGCACAGTGATTATGAAGAGCACAGTGATTATGAGGAGCACAGTGAGCTTGAAGAGCACAGTGATCATAAAGAAAGCAGCGAGCATGAAGAGCACAGTGAGCATGAAGAGCATAGTGCGCATGAAGAGTCTTGTGACCATGAAGAGCATAGTGACCATGAAGTGCACAGTGAGCATGAAGAGCATAGTGACCATGAAGAGCACAGTGAGCATGAAGAGCATAGTTAGCGTGAAGAGCACAGTAAGCATGAAGAGCACAGTGAGCGTGAGCAGCACAGTGAGCATGAGGAGCACAGTGAGCGTGAAGAGCATAGTGACCATAAAGAGCATAGTGATCATGAAGAGCATAGTGAGCATGAATAGTACAGGAAGAATGAAGAGTACAGTGAGCATGAGGAGCAGAGTGAGCATGAAGAGCATAGTGACCATTAAGAGCATAGTGATCATGAAGAGCATAGTGAGCATGAGGAGTACAGGAAGCATGAAGAGTACAGTGAGCATGAGGAGCAGAGTGAGCATGAAGAGCATAGTGAGCATGAAGAGCACGGTGACCTTGAAGAGCATAGTGAGCATAAAGATTCTAGTGACCATGAAGAGCATAGTGAGCATGGAGAGTACAGTGAGCATGAAGAGCACAGTGAGCGTGAAGAGAACAGTGCGCATGAAGAGTACAGTGAGCATGAAGAGCACAGTGAGCGTATAGAGCACCGTGAGCATGAAGAGCACAGTGAGCATGAAGAGCACAGTGAGCGTGAAGAGCACAGTGATTATGAAGAGCACAGTGATTATGAGGAGCACAGTGAGCATGAAGAGCAAAGTGATCATAAAGAAAGCAGCGAACATGAAGAGCACAGTGAGCATGAAGAGCATAGTGAGCATGAAGAGTCTTGTGACCATGAAGAGCATAGTGACCATGAAGTGCACAGTGAGCATGAAGAGCATAGTGACCATGAAGAGCACAGTGAGCATGAAGAGCATAGTTAGCGTGAAGAGCACAGTAAGCATGAAGAGCACAGTGAGCGTGAGGAGCACAGTGAGCATGAGGAGCACAGTGAGCGTGAAGAGAAATGTGAGCATGAAGAGTACAGTGATAGTGACCATGAAGAGCACAGTGAGCATTAGGAGCATAGTGAACGTGAAGAGCACAGTGAGCATGAGGAGCACAGTGAGTATGAAGAGCACAGTGAGCATGAAGAGCACAGTTTGCATGAAGAGCACAGTTTGCATGAAGGGCAGAGTGAGCATGAAGAGCACAGTGAGCGTGAGGAGCACATTGAGCATGAAGAGCACAATGAGCATGAAGAGCACAGTGAGCATGAAGAGCATTGTGACCATTAGGAGCATAGTGATCATGAAGAGCATAGTGAGCATGAAGAGTACAGTAAGCATGAAGAGTACAGTGAGCATGAGGAGCAGAGTGAGCATGAAGAGCATAGTGAAGATGAAGAGCACGGTGACATTAAAGAGCATAGTGAGCATGAAGATTCTATTGACCATGAAGAGCATAGTGAGCATGGAGAGTACAGTGAGCATGAAGAGCACAGTGAGCGTGAAGAGAACAGTGCGCATGAAGAGTACAGTGAGCATGAAGAGCACAGTGAGCGTATAGAGCACCGTGAGCATGAAGAGCACAGTGAGCATGAAGAGCACAGTGAGCGTGAAGAGCACAGTGATTATGAAGAGCACAGTGATTATGAGGAGCACAGTGAGCTTGAAGAGCACAGTGATCATAAAGAAAGCAGCGAGCATGAAGAGCACAGTGAGCATGAAGAGCATAGTGAGCATGAAGAGTCTTGTGACCATGAAGAGCATAGTGACCATGAAGTGCACAGTGAGCATGAAGAGCATAGTGACCATGAAGAGCACAGTGAGCATGAAGAGCATAGTTAGCGTGAAGAGCACAGTAAGCATGAAGAGCACAGTGAGCGTGAGGAGCACAGAGAGCATGAGGAGCACAGTGAGCGTGAAGAGAAATGTGAGCATGAAGAGTACAGTGATAGTGACCATGAAGAGAACAGTGAGCATTAGGAGCATAGTGAACGTGAAGAGCACAGTGAGCATGAGGAGCACAGTGAGTATGAAGAGCACAGTGAGCATGAAGAGCACAGTTTGCATGAAGAGTACAGTTTGCATAAAGGGCAGAGTGAGCATGAAGAGCACAGTGAGCGTGAGGAGCACAGTGAGCATGAAGAGCACAATGAGCATGAAGAGCACAGTAAGCATGAAGAGCATTGTGACCATTAGGAGCATAGTGATCATGAAGAGCATAGTGAGCATGAAGAGTACAGTAAGCATGGAGGGTACAGTGAGCATGAGGAGCAGAGTGAGCATGAAGAGCATAGTTAGCGTGAAGAGCACAGTAAGCATGAAGAGCACAGTGAGCTTGAGGAGCACAGTGAGCATGAGGAGCACAGTGAGCGTGAAGAGCATAGTGACCATAAAGAGCATAGTGATCATGAAGAGCATAGTGAGCATGAAGAGTACAGGAAGCATGAAGAGTACAGTGAGCATGAGGAGCAGAGTGAGCATGAAGAGCAAAGTGACCATTAAGAGCATAGTGATCATGAAGAGCATAGTGAGCATGAGGAGTACAGGAAGCATGAAGAGTACAGTGAGCATGAGGAGCAGAGTGAGCATTAAGAGCATAGTGAGCATGAAGAGCACGGTGACATTGAAGAGCATAGTGAGCATGAAGATTCTAGTGACCATGAAGAGCATAGTGAGCATGGAGAGTACAGTGAGCATGAAGAGCACAGTGAGCGTGAAGAGAACAGTGCGCATGAAGAGTACAGTGAGCATGAAGAGCACAGTGAGCATTAGGAGCATAGTGAACGTGAAGAGCACAGAGAGCATGAGGAGCACAGTGAGTATGAAGAGCACAGTGAGCATGAAGAGCACAGTTTGCATGAAGGGCACAGTGAGCATGAAGAGCACAGTGAGCGTGAGGAGCACAGTGAGCATGAAGAGCACTATGAGCATGAAGAGCAGCGTGAGCATGAAGAGCATAGTGACCATCAAGAGCATTGTGATCATGAAGAGCATAGTGAGCATGAAGAGTACAGGAAGCATGAAGAGTACAGTGAGCATGAGGAGCAGAGTGAGCATGAAGAGCATAGTGAGCATGAAGAGCACGGTGACATTGAAGAGCATAGTGAGCATGAAGATTCTAGTGACCATGAAGAGCATAGTGAGCATGGAGAGTACAGTGAGCATGAAGAGCACAGTGAACGTGAAGAGAACAGTGCGCATGAAGAGTACAGTGAGCATGACGAGCACAGTGAGCGTATAGAGCACCGTGATCATGAAGAGCACAGTGAGCATGAAGAGCACAGTGAGCGTGAAGAGCACAGTGATTATGAAGAGCACAGTGATTATGAGGAGCACAGTGAGCATGAGGAGCACAGTGAGCGTGAAGAGAAATGTGAGCATGAAAAGTACAGTGATAGTGACCATGAAGAGCACAGTGAGCATTAGGAGCATAGTGAACGTGAAGAGCACAGTGAGCATGAGGAGCACAGTGAGTATGAAGTGCACAGTGAGCATGAAGAGCACAGTTTGCATGAAGAGCACAGTTTGCATGAAGGGCACAGTGAGCATGAAGAGCAAAGTGAGCGTGAGCAGCACAGTGAGCATGAAGAGCTCAATGAGCATGAAGAGCACAGTGAGCATGAAGAGCATAGTCACCATTAAGAGCATAGTGATCATGAAGAGCATAGTGAGCATGAAGAGTACAGTAAGCATGGAGAGTACAGTGAGCATGAGGAGCAGAGTGAGCATGAAGAGCATAGTGACCATTAGGAGCATAGTGATCATGAAGAGCATAGTGAGCATGAAGAGTACAGGAAGCATGAAGAGTACAGTGAGCATGAGGAGCAGAGTGAGCATGAAGAGCATAGTAAGCATGAAGAGCACGGTGACATTGAAGTGCATAGTGAGCATAAAGATTCTAGTGACCATGAAGAGCATAGTGAGCATGGAGAGTACAGTGAGCATGAAGAGCACAGTGAGCGTGAAGAGAACAGTGCGCATGAAGAGTACAGTGAGCATGAAGAGCACAGTGAGCGTATAGAGCACCGTGAGCATGAAGAGCACAGTGAGCATGAAGAGCACAGTGAGCGTGAAGAGCACAGTGATTATGAAGAGCACAGTGATTATAAGGAGCACAGTGAGCATGAAGAGCACAGTGATCATAAAGAAAGCAGCGAACATGAAGAGCACAGTGAGCATGAAGAGCATAGTGAGCATGAAGAGTCTTGTGACCATGAAGAGCATAGTGACCATGAAGTGCACAGTGAGCATGAAGAGCATAGTGACCATGAAGAGCATGAAGAGCATAGTTAGCGTGAAGAGCACAGTAAGCATGAAGAGCACAGTGAGCGTGAGGAGCACAGTGAGCATGAGGAGCACAGTGAGCGTGAAGAGAAATGTGAGCATGAAGAGTACAGTGATAGTGACCATAAAGAGCACAGTGAGCATTAGGAGCATAGTGAACGTGAAGGGCACAGTGAGCATGAGGAGCACAGTGAGTATGAAGAGCACAGTGAGCATGAAGAGCACTATGAGCATGAAGAGCAGCGTGAGCATGAAGAGCATAGTGACCATTAAGAGCATAGTGATCATGAAGAGCATAGTGAGCATGAAGAGTACAGGAAGCATGAAAAGTACAGTGAGCATGAGGAGCAGAGTGAGCATGAAGAGCATAGTGAACATGAAGAGCACGGTGACATTGAAGAGCATAGTGAACATGAAGATTCTAGTGACCATGAAGAACATAGTGAGCATGGAGAGTACAGTGAGCATGAAGAGCACAGTGAGCGTGAAGAGAACAGTGCGCATGAAGAGTACAGTGAGCATGAAGAGCACAGTGAGCGTATAGAGCACCGTGAGCATGAAGAGCACTGTGAGCATGAAGAGCACAGTGAGCGTGAAGAGCACAGTGATTATGAAGAGCACAGTGATTATGAGGAGCACAGCGAGCATGAAGAGCACAGTGAGCATGAAGAGCATAGTGAGCATGAAGAGTCTTGTGACCATGAAGAGCATAGTGACCATGAAGTGCACAGTGAGCATGAAGAGCATAGTGACCATGAAGAGCACAGTGAGCATGAAGAGCATAGTTAGCGTGAAGAGCACAGTAAGCATGAAGAGCACAGTGAGCGTGAGGAGCACAGTGAGCATGAGGAGCACAGTGAGCGTGAAGAGAAATGTGAGCATGAAGAGTACAGTGATAGTGAACATGAAGAGCACAGTGAGCATTAGGAGCATAGTGAACGTGAAGAGCACAGTGAGCATGAGGAGCACAGTGAGTATGAAGAGCACAGTGAGCATTGTTACGAACCCGGATCCAGCGTCCGAGCCTGGAGCAGTGACAACCACGCCATCTGTGAGTCAGCTCCCGAAACTCCCGCCAAACGGACGACGACACCTAGTGAGGACAGCGAGTACTGGCCTCGAGGACCAGTTTCCAGTCTGGTTCAGCGCTCAACACCGCCGCTCCTGACCGCTGGTGAGGTGGTGCTCCGACGACAGCGCCATCTATGGACTGGATACGTCAGGTGTTTGTGCCCGAGCCCGTAAGTGAGATATATTAGTGTCCCGGTTATTGATGACGTGTCTGTTTACAGAGTCGACCTGGGACCACTGTGTTGAAGGTTGAGTCAGTCTACCCGAGGCAGCCAGTCTCCATACTGTGAAGTTTGCTGCAGCCGTTGTGACGTCGTCCCCCCGGAAGAACACTGTGGTGTGTTAAGCCTGCCAATGGAGTGGCAGTGAAAGGATTTACCCGGGACCGACGGTTGGAGACGATAATCCACTGGGGTATTGAGGACAGGAGGGTGATTGGTGATATCACACGAGACTCCTGTCTAGGGCGTACCCCTTTTATCGTTCGTGGAGTGGCCGTACCAGCCTTGGTGGCTCAGTACCTGCCAGCAGACCTGCTGGACGTGTGGTTGACGGCCTCCACGACGGTGCTCCCAGTTGACCTGTGTTTTGGCTGACTTGTGGCCAGGGTAGGCTCGGCGTTCTCAGAGGACACGTCTTGAGGCCACGAAGAAAGCACCACGGACTCAGCACCTAGCTTCTTAATCAAGAGTCTTCAGCAGAAGACTAGATTGTGCACGATCCCCTTGTAAAGTGTTAATACCCCTCCCCCTTGTGTACTCTTTTATTCTATATATTTAAATGGTGATGGTGAACATTATATTATATTAAGTTCTTAGCTTTCTTTCCCTACTCCCTTTAAGTTACTTGCGTCACGGATCTCATCCCTTGATAGCCACTACTGGCTTGGGAACGGATACATATATCTTCCTCTAACAACATCAGAGTGAGAACCCCGTTGCGTCCCGAGAGGGCCGTAACATAATTGGCATCCCCAGCGGGATCCGTCCCCTTGTTAAGTATTTTTGACAGGGGTGGTGAAGTGGCGTAATCCCTGTATATAATTCCCCCTGTGTGACGATTGTGACGTTATACGTCCTGTGCGGTGCTCAAGAGTGACTAAGTGCGATATTGTGCAGTGCGGTGCTCGCTGTGATTAAGCGATTAAGTGCAATATTGACTAGTGCGGTGCTCAGTGATTTAGTGCAATATTGTAGAGCGAAGTGTTCGCTTGGACTCAGTGCAATATTGGGTAGTGCGGTGCCCGGAGTGATTACGTGCAATATTGGCAAGTGCAGTGTTTGGTGCGATAAAGTACAATATTGGCGTAGAACAGTGCTCAGTGTGTTAAGTGCTAACGTGTAAGCAGTGTGTTAAGTGCAAAGTATTCCATCTGTGACAATGGCAGACAAAGCTACCATCGACGATCTGGACGAGGTTCAGGCTTTTCTGAACAGAGAGGATTGTCTTGCCAGATTAAAATATTTGAGCAAACCAGAGCTTGTACTAGTGAGCGCCTACCTGGAGATCAAGATCCGTGCCAGTGATTCCCGTGTGGAGATCTTGTCCAAGGTACACCGGCACCTGAAGGCAGAAGAGAAACAGGAAGGCGAGACTCCTAGTACAAAGGAAAGTGCAGACATAGCTTCCACGGAAAAGGAAGATAAGGGCAGCGACGTTGACAGTGATGCAGGCGAGCTTAATATCAGCTTCCTAACAGTCAAGATGCGTGCCCTAGAGATCAATCGTGAAATTGAATGGAAGAAGTTAGAAATGGAACGAGAGAGACAAGATAAAGAATTGGAGATGAGACGTTTAGAATTAGAACGAGAAAGAGAAAGAGAAGAACGAGAAAGAGAAGAGAGACGGGAGAAAGAAGAACGAGAACGAGAGAGAGAAGAACGAGAAAGAGAAGAGAAACGAGAGAGAGAAGAACGAGAACGAGAGAGAGAAGAACGAGAAAGAGAAGAGAAACGAGAGAGAGAAGAACGAGAACGAGAGAGAGAAGAACGAGAAAGAGAAGAGAGACGAGAGAGAGAAGAACGAGAGCGAGAAAGGGAGGAAAGAGAGAGACAACATGAACTAGAAGTTTTGCGATTAGGCGGTGGTCGGAGGCAAACAACGGACACCAGTAGCTTCGATCCGGTACGCAACATCAAAATGGTCCCCAAATTCCATGAGAAGGAAGTGTCAAAATTCTTTGCAGCCTTCGAGAAAGTCGCTGCCTCTTTGGAGTGGCCAAGGGAGAATTGGGCCATCATGATACAGTCAGTCTTGACTGGGAAGGCCCAAATCGCCTAATCTACGTTATCCCTTGACGACTCCAGCGATTATGACAAGGTGAAGAAGGTTGTGCTCATGGCGTACCAATTGGTACCTGAGGCGTATAGGCAAAAGTTCAGAAACCTGAAGAAGACCTCAGAGCACACTTTCACCGAATTCGCTACAATCAAGGAGCGACTTTTCCAGGAATGGTGCGCCTCTCGGAAAGTGGAGACCAGGGAAGACCTCGAACAGCTGATTCTGCTCGAGGACTTCAAGGATTGTTTGTCTGGAGACCTCAAGACATACTTAGAAGAGCAGCAGGTGGAGACCTTGAGTGCAGCAGCCACCATGGCTGAAGAGTATATCCTGACTCATAGGCCGTCTGCTAAGTACGTCCCGAGGAATTACCAGCGCCGGTTTGACAGACCTCAGGACGATGAAGAGACTCCCGTCCCACGAAGCGCTAAGAAGACGCCCCCAAGTAGCCCCCGAAGAACAAGTCCCAGTAGCCCGAAACACCGTAGTCCAAGGAGGAATATGGTGTGCTGGACTTGTGGGCAGAAAGGGCACATAGCTGCTAGGTGCCGAGGTAGAAGAGGTGGCAGCGCACGAAGGGAGGTGATGTTGGTGAGCTGTGTTACATCACCAGTAGGAAACCAGTCTACGACGACGCAGGAAGGACCAAGTTTGTTGGCCCCTCACACTTCAACCGGGTATGTAACGAGTGATCATACTGGTAGATCAATTGTAGTGCTCAGAGATAGTGGAGCAGCCCAGTCCCTGATCGTGAAGAGCTCGTTACCCGAGGGAGTAAGTGTGGATGGGAGACCAGAGGTGATCCTGGTTGGGTTTCCTAGGACGCAGTACATCGCCCCCTTAGTGCCAGTACATCTTGATTCGCCTTATTTCAGCGGCACATGTGAGTTGGCAGTAGTCGATACCCTCCCTGTGGCTGGGATTGACGTGGTACTAGCCAACGACTTGGTGACCGATTGGAGCACCAATCGTCCCAAGGTTGCGGACGAGTCTACCAGAACAGCAAGGTCGGAGGTGACAACAGGCAATGGTAATGTCCAGGTAAAGACAGACCCGGATTTGAACATGTCTAATTTGTCCTCTCACCCGCAGATCGATGATATTCTAGCAGTGTCCCCTGATTCTCTCGACGAGGAACATGAAGTTAAGAAGGCAGAGGTACCTGAGCAAGAAGAGAGGCCTTGTGTGCGGGCACCCACGGATACCAACGAGTCTGGAGCAAAGGCGGATGTGTGCTTGCGGTATGGCAAGTTACAGCGTGTAGTGGACCAGCCAGAGATTCCCCAGACGTCAGAGGTATGTGAGGTGTGTTCAAAAGGTCTAGTGCCCTCTTCTGTCCAAGCCAGGCTAGTGGATGGTGCCGGCTATGGACATGACAAGCTCAGGAAACTTATCCCTCGAATTGCCAAATGTTTCCTACCGTTATTTTGTTTTGTTCTCCTATGTGTTCTCTGTGTTCTCAGTAAGGACCGGTGGACGACCCGACGAATGATGGCTCCCATGAACATCGCGAAAAGGTCCCAAGGATTGGAGATTTGTACTGCAGGTGTTGCAGTTGAAGGAGGGACCTGGAAGGTGATGGTTGATACAGGAGGTACGACAAATGATAATATGAGTGACTGTTTCCGACAGGTTGACACCCCCCGCGTGATTGCTGAGCCTCAATACAGCGTTATACGGAACGTTGGTCGACCTGACGGAGGCAGAGCGAATGCCATCTTCGGTGTGCAAGCAGCCCTGTTGGAACTAGGTGCGAGCCTAGTAGAGGAGAGTATAGTAAGTACTGACTTGCCCATTGTCGCTAGCACTCTGAATTATCAGACCCCTGTATTCCAGGTTCCTGCCTCCCTGAAGGACCATCGGACCGGCACCAGAAATGCCGTCTGTGGACAGCCATCATCGGTGCCACGACATAGGGAAGTGTCGAGTTACCCCAGATCGTGTCGAAACCAATCCGTACTTGAGAGAGGTGAGATGAAACCCCTGCTTGACATCTCGGTGGAGACGGTGAAGATGTGGAAGATTACACCAGGCAGGACCTTGCCTTCAATTTTAAAGTTCCCGTTGTGCCGGAATTGCCCAGTAGGACAGTTCTGTGGACGAGACAGCCTCGCCATCCCAGATTATAAAGCATGTGTGTCCATTTGGAGTTGTGTCGTCGTACTAATTTGGTTTGTGTTTCTTTTTATAGAACCCCAAACCAAATTCTTTTTGGTGGGGAGGTGTTACGAACCTGGATCCAGCGTCCGAGCCTGGAGCAGTGACAACCACGCCATCTGTGAGTCAGCTCCCGAAACCCCCGCCAAACGGACGACGACACCTAGTGAGGACAGCGAGTACTGGCCTCGAGGACCAGTTTCCAGTCTGGTTCAGCGCTCAACACCGCCGCTCCTGACCGCTGGTGAGGTGGTGCTCCGACGACAGCGCCATCTATGGACTGGATACGTCAGGTGTTTGTGCCCGAGCCCGTAAGTGAGATGTATTAGTGTCCCGGTTATTGATGACGTGTCTGTTTACAGAGTCGACCTGGGACCACTGTGTTGAAGGTTGAGTCAGTCTACCCGAGGCAGCCAGTCTCCATACTGTGAAGTTTGCTGCAGCCGTTGTGACGTCGTCCCCCCGGAAGAACACTGTGGTGTGTTAAGCCTGCCAATGGAGTGGCAGTGAAAGGATTTACCCGGGACCGACGGTTGGAGACGATAATCCACTGGGGTATTGAGGACAGGAGGGTGATTGGTGATATCACACGAGACTCCTGTCTAGGGCGTACCCCTTTTATCGTTCGTGGAGTGGCCGTACCAGCCTTGGTGGCTCAGTACCTGCCAGCAGACCTGCTGGACGTGTGGTTGACGGCCTCCACGACGGTGCCCCCAGTGGACCTGTGTTGTGGCTGACCTGTGGCCAGGGTAGGCTCGGCGTTCTCAGAGGACACGTCTTGAGGCCACGAAGAAAGCACCGCGGACTCAGCACCTAGCTTCTTAATCAAGAGTCTTCAGCAGAAGACTAGATTGTGCACGATCCCCTTGTAAAGTGTTAATACCCCTCCCCCTTGTGTACTCTTTTATTCTATATATTTAAATGGTGATGGTGAACATTATATTATATTAAGTTCTTAGCTTTCTTTCCCTACTCCCTTTAAGTTACTTTGCGTCACGGATCTCATCCCTTGATAGCCACTACTGGCTTGGAAACGGATACATATATCTTCCTCTAACAACATCAGAGTGAGAACCCCGTTGCGTCCCGAGAGGGCCGAAGAGCACAGTTTGCATGAAGAGCACAGTTTGCATGAAGGGCACAGTGAGCGTGAAGAGCACAGTGAGCGTGAGGAGCACAGTGAGCATGAAGAGCACAATGAGCATGAAGAGCACAGTGAGCATGAAGAGCATAGTGACCATTAAGAGCATAGTGATCATGAAGAGCATAGTGAGCATGAAGAGTACTGTAAGCATGAAGAGTACAGTGAGCATGAGGAGCAGAGTGAGCATGAAGAGCATAGTGAACATGAAGAGCACGGTGACATTAAAGAGCATAGTGAGCATGAAGATTCTAGTGAACATGAAGAGTACAGTGAGCATGGAGAGTACAGTGAGCATGAAGAGCACAGTGAGCGTGAAGAGAACAGTGCGCATGAAGAGTACAGTGAGCATGAAGAGCACAGTGAGCGTATAGAGCACCGTGAGCATGAAGAGCACAGTGAGCATGAAGAGCATAGTGACCATTAAGAGCATAGTGATCATGAAGAGCATAGTGAGCATAAAGAGTACAGGAAGCATGAAGAGTACAGTGAGCATGAGGAGCAGAGTGAGCATGAAGAGCATAGTGACCATTAAGAGCATAGTGATCATGAAGAGCATAGTGAGCATGAAGAGTACAGGAAGCATGAAGAGTACAGTGAGCATGAGGAGCAGAGTGAGCATGAAGAGCATAGTGAGCATGAAGAGCACGGTGACATTGAAGAGCATGAAGATTCTAGTGACCATGAGGAGCATAGTGAGCATGGAGAGTACAGTGAGCATGAAGAGCACAGTGAGCGTGAAGAGAACAGTGCGCATGAAGAGTACAGTGAGCATGAAGAGCACAGTGAGCGTATAGAGCACCGTGAGCATGAAGAGCACAGTGAGCATGAAGAGCACAGTGAGCGTGAAGAGCACAGTGATTATGAAGAGCACAGTGATTATGAGGAGCACAGTGAGCATGAAGAGCACAGTGATCATAAAGAAAGCAGCGAACATGAAGAGCACAGTGAGCATGAAGAGCATAGTGAGCATGAAGAGTCTTGTGACCATGAAGAGCATAGTGACCATGAATTGCACAGTGAGCATGAAGAGCATAGTTAGCGTGAAGAGCACAGTAAGCATGAAGAGCACAGTGAGCGTGAGGAGCACAGTGAGCATGAGGAGCACAGCGAGCGTGAAGAGAAATGTGAGCATGAAGAGTACAGTGATAGTGACCATGAAGAGCACAGTGAGCATTAGGAGCATAGTGAACGTGAAGAGCACAGTGAGCATGAGGAGCACAGTGAGTATGAAGAGCATAGTGAGCATGAAGAGCACAGTTTGCATGAAGAGCACAGTTTGCATGAAGAGCACAGTGAGCATGAAGAGCACAGTGAGCGTGAGGAGCACAGTGAGCATGAAGAGCACAATGAGCATGAAGAGCACAGTGAGTATGAAGAGCATAGTGACCATTAAGAGCATAGTGATCATGAAGAGCATAGTGAGCATGAAGAGTACAGTAAGCATGAAGAGTACAGTGAGCATGAGGAGCAGAGTGAGCATGAAAAGCATAGTGAACTTGAAGAGCACGGTGACATTAAAGAGCATAGTGAGCATGAAGATTCTAGTGACCATGAAGAGCATAGTGAGCATGGAGAGTACAGTGAGCATGAAGAGCACAGTGAGCATGAAGAGAACAGTGCGCACGAAGAGTACAGTGAGCATGAAGAGCACAGTGAGCGTATAGAGCACCGTAAGCATGAAGAGCACAGTGAGCATGAAGAGCATAGTGACCATTAAGAGCATAGTGATCATGAAGGGCATAGTGAGCTTGAAGAGTACAGGAAGCATGACGAGTACAGTGAGCATGAGGAGCAGAGTGAGCATGAAGAGCATAGTGACCATTAAGAGCATAGTGATCATGAAGAGCATAGTGATCATGAAGAGTACAGGAAGCATGAAGAGTACAGTGAGCATGAGGAGCAGAGTGAGCATGAAGAGCATAGTGAGCATGAAGAGCACGGTGACATTGAAAAGCATAGTGAGCATGAAGATTCTAGTGACCATGAAGAGCATAGTGAGCATGGAGAGTACAGTGAGCATGAAGAGCACAGTGAGCGTGAAGAGAACAGTGAGCGTGAAGATCACAGTGATTATGAAGAGCACAGAGATTATGAGGAGCACAGTGAGCATGAAGAGCATAGTGATCATAAAGAAAACAGCGAACATGAAGAGCACTGTGATCATAAAGAAAGCAGCGAACATGAAGAGCACAGTGAGCATGAAGAGCATAGTGAGCATGAAGAGTCTTGTGACCATGAAGAGCATAGTGACCATGAAGTGCACAGTGAGCATGAAGAGCATAGTGAGCGTGAAGAGCACAGTGATTATGAAGAGCACAGAGATTATGAGGAGCACAGTGAGCATGAAGAGCACAGTGATCATAAAGAAAGCAGCGAACATGAAGAGCACAGTGATCATAAAGAAAGCAGCGAACATGAAGAGCACAGTGAGCATGAAGAGCATAGTGAGCATGAAGAGTCTTGTGACCATGAAGAGCATAGTGACCATGAAGTGCACAGTGAGCATGAAGAGCATAGTGACCATGAAGAGCACAGTAAGCATGAAGAGCATAGTTAGCGTGAAGAGCACAGTAAGCATGAAGAGCACAGTGAGCGTGAGGAGCACAGTGAGCATGAGGAGCACAGTGAGCGTGAAGAGAAATGTGAGCATGAAGAGTACAGTGATAGTGACCATGAAGAGCACAGTGAGCATTAGGAGCATAGTGAACGTGAAGAGCACAGTGAGCATGAGGAGCACAGTGAGTATGAAGAGCACAGTGAGCATGAAGAGCACAGTTTGCATGAAGAGCACAGTTTGCATGAAGGGCACAGTGATCATGAAGAGCACAGTGAGCGTGAGGAGCACAGTGAGCATGAAGAGCATTGTGACCATTAAGAGCATAGTGATCATGAAGAGCATAGTGAGCATGAAGAGTACAGTAAGCATGAAGAGTACAGTGAACATGAGGAGCAGAGTGAGCATGAAAAGCATAGTGAACATGAAGAGCACGGTGATATTGAAGAGCATAGTGAGCATGAAGATTCTAGTGACCATGAAGAGCATAGTGAGCATGGAGAGTACAGTGAACATGAAGAGCACAGTGAGCGTGAAGAGAACAGTGCGCATGAAGAGTACAGTGAGCATGAAGAGCACAGTGAGCGTATAGAGCACCGTGAGCATGAAGAGCACAGTGAGGATGAAGAGCACAGTAAGCGTGAAGAACACAGTAAGCATGAAGAGCACAGTGAGCATGAGGAGCTCAGAGAGCATGAGGAGCACAGTGAGCGTGAAGAGAACAGTGAGCATGAAGAGTACAGTGATCATGAAGAGCACAGTGAGCGTATAGAGCACCGTGAGCATGAAGAGCACAGTGAGCATGAAGAGCACAGAGAGCGTGAAGAGCACATTGATTATGAAGAGCACAGTGATTATGAGGAGCACAGTGAGCATGAAGAGCACAGTGGTCATAAAGAAAGAAACGAGCATGAAGAGCACAGTGAGCATGCAGAGCATAGTGAGCATGAAGAGTCTAGTGACCATGAAGAGAATAGTGACCATGAAGTGCACCGTGATCATAAAGAGCACAGTGAGCATGAAGAGCATAGTTAGCTTGAAGAGCACAGTAAGCATGAAGAGCAGAGTGAGCATGAGGAGCACAGTGAGCATGAGGAGCAAAGTGAGCGTGATGGGAACAGTGAGCATGAGGAGTATAGTGAGCATGAAGAGCACAGTGAGCGTATAGAGCACCGTGAGCATTAAGAGCACTGTGAGCATGAAGAGCACAGTGAGCATGAAGAACACTGATAGCATGAAGAGCACAGTGAACATGAAGAGCACCGTGAGCATGAAGAGTACAGTGAACATGAAGAACACAGTGAACATGAAGAGCAGAGTGAGCATGAAGAGCACAGCGATCATGAAGAGCACAGGGAGCATGAAGAGCATACAAAGCATGAAGAGTACATTGAGCATGAAGAGTACAGTGACCATGAAGAGCACAGTGAGCATGAAGACCTTAGTGATCATGAGGATCACAGTGAGCATGACGAGCATAGTGAGCGTGAAGAGCACAATGACAATGATGAGCATATTGAGCATAAAGAGCTGTTACGGACCCGGATCCAGCATCCGAGCACGGAGCAGTGACTACCGCGCCATCTGTGGGTCAGCTCCCGAAACCCCCACCAAATGGACGACGACACCTGGTGAGGACAAGGTGTACTGCCCACAAGGGCCAGTTTCCAGTCCGGTTCAGCTCACAACACCGCCGCTGCTGACCTCTGGTGAGGTGGTGCTCAGACTACAACGCCATCTATGGAGTGGATATGTCGGGCGTTTGTGTCTGAGCCTGTAAGTGAGGTGCTGTAGGGTGTCCCTGTTATTGATGACGTGTCTGTTTACAGAGTCGACCTGGGACTGCTGTGATGGAAGTTGAGTCAGTCTACCCAAGGCAGCCGTCCCCATACCTTGTGCTTTGCTGTAGCAGCTGTGAGTCGACTCCCGGATGAACACTGTGGTGTTACCCTGCCTGTGAAGAGGCAGTGAAGGATCGTCGTACCCGGGACCGACTGCTGGAGACGATTATCCATTGGGGTATTGAGGACAGGAGAGTGATTTGTGGTATCACACGAGGCTCCTGACTAGGGCGCTACCTTAGTATCGCTCGTGGAGTGGCCTGACTAGCGTTGCTGATCCGGAACCTGCCAGCAGACCTGCTGGACTTGTGGTTGACGGCCTCCATGGCGGTGCCCCCAGTGGAACTGTGTTTTGGCTGACCTGTGGACCGGGTAGACTCAGCTTCTCAAAGGATTCGTTGTGAGGCCACGAAAGCACCGAGGACTTGGCACCGAGAGTTTGGATCCAGAGTCTTCAGGAGAAGACAATTGTGTAAATAATTCCCTTGTGCAGTGTTAATACCCCTCCCCTGTGTAATCTTATATTATTTATCTGGTGATGGTAATAATTATAGTATTAAGTTCTTGCCTTTATTTCCCTTCCCCTTTTATTTTACTTGCGTCACGGATCTCATCCCTTGAAAGCCACTACTGGCTTGGGGCCGGATACAACGTCCTCTAATAACATCCGAGTACGAACCCAGTTGCGACCTGAGAGGGCCGTAACAAGAGCATAGTGACCATGAAGTGCACAGTACGCATGAAGAGCACGGTGAGCGTGAAGAGCACAGTGAGCATGAATAGCATAGTTAGCGTGCAGAGGACAGTGAGCATAAAGAGCATAGTGAGCGTGAAGATCACAGTGAGCATGAAGAACATAGTTAGCGTGAAGAGCACAGTGAGCATGAAGAGCACAGTGAGCATGAGGATCACAGTGAGCATGAGGAGCACAGTGAGCGTGAAGAGCACAGTAAGCATGAAAAGCACAGTGAGCGTGAGGAGCACAGTGAGCATGAGGAGCACAGTGAGCGTGAAGATAAATGTGAGCATGAAAAGTACAGTGATAGTGACCATGAAGAGCACAGTGAGCATTAGGAGCATAGTGAACGTGAAGAGCACAGTGAGCATAAGGAGCACAGTGAGTATGAAGAGCACAGTGAGCATGAAGAGCACAGTTTGCATGAAGAGCACAGTTTGCATGAAGGACACAGTGAGTATGAAGAGCACAGTGAGCGTGAGGAGCACAGTGAGCATGAAGAGCACAATGAGCATGAAGAGCACAGTGAACATGAAGAGCATAGTGACCATTAAGAGCATAGTGATCATGAAGAGCATAGTTAGCATGAAGAGTACAGTAAGCATGAAGAGTACAGTGAACATGGGGAGCAGAGTGAGCATGAAAAGCATAGTGAACATGAAGAGCACGGTGACATTGAAGAGCATAGTGACCATGAAGATTCTAGTGACCATGAAGAGCATAGTGAGCATGGAGAGTACAGTGAGCATGAAGAGCACAGTGAGCGTGAAGAGAACAGTGCGCATGAAGAGTACAGTGAGCATGAAGAGCACAGTGAGCGTATAGAGCACCGTGAGCATGAAGAGCACAGTGAGCATGAAGAGCACAGTGAGCGTGAAGAGCACAGTGATTATGAAGAGCACAGTGATTATGAGGAGCACAGTGAGCATGAAGAGCACAGTGAACATAAAGAAAGCAGCGAGCATGAAGAGCACAGTGAGCATGAAGAGTCTTGTGACCATGAAGAGCATAGTGACCATGAAGTGCACAGTGAGCATGAGGAGCATAGTGACCATGAAGAGCACAGTGAGCATGAAGAGCATAGTTAGCGTGAAGAGCACAGTAAGCATGAAGAGCACAGTGAGCGTGAGGACCACAGTGAGCATGAGGAGCACAGTGAGCGTGAAGAGAAATGTGAGCATGAAGAGTACAGCAATAGTTACCATGAAGAGCACAGTGAGCATGAAGAGCATAGTTAGCGTAAAGAGCACAGTAAGCATGAAGAGCACAGTGAGCATGAGGAGCTCAGAGAGCATGAGGAGCACAGTGAGGTGTGAAGAGAACAGTGAGCATGAAGAGTACAGTGATCATGAAGAGCACAGTGAGCGTATAGAGCACCGTGAACATGAAGAGCACAGTGAGCATGAAGAGCACAGAGAGCGTGAAGAGCACATTGATTATGAAGAGCACAGTGATTATGAGGAGCACAGTGAGCATGAAGAGCACAGTGGTCAAAAAGAAAGAAGCGAGCATGAAGACCACAGTGAACATAAAGAGCATAGTGAGCATGATGAGTAAAGTGACTATAAAGAGCACAGTGAGCATGAAGAGCATAGTGAGCATGAGGAGCACAGTGAGCATGAAGAGAATAGTTAGCATGAAGAGCACGGTGACAATGAAGAGTAGAGTGAGCATGAAGAGCATGTTGACCATCAAGAGCATAATGACCATGAGGAGCACAGTGAGCATTAGGAGCATAGTGAACGTGAAGAGCATAGAGAGCATGAGGAGCACAGAGAGTATGAAGAGCACAGTGAGCATGAAGAGCACAGTTTGCAAGAAGGGCACAGTGAGCATGAAGAGCACAGTGAGCGTGAGGAGCACAGTGAGCATGAAGAGCACTATGAGCATGAAGAGCAGCGTGAGCATGAAGAGCATAGTGACCATTAAGAGCATAGTGATCATGAAGAGCATAGTGAGCATAAAGAGTACAGGAAGCATGAAGAGTACAGTGAGCATGAGGAGCAGAGTGAGCATGAAGAGCATAGTGAGCATGAAGAGCACGGTGACATTGAAGAGCATAGTGAGCATGAAGATTCTAGTGACCATGAAGAGCATAGTGAGCATGGAGAGTACAGTGAGCATGAAGAGCACAGTGAGAGTGAAGAGAACAGTGCGCATGAAGAGTACAGTGAGCATGAAGAGCACAGTGAGCGTATAGAGCACCGTGAGCATGAAGAGCACAGTGAGCATGAAGAGCACAGTGAGCGTGAAGAGCACAGTGATTATGAAGAGCACAGTGATTATGAGGAGCACAGTGAGCATGAAGAGCACAGTGATCATAAAGAAAGCAGCGAGCATGAAGAGCACAGTGAGCATATAGAGCATAGTGAGCATGAAGAGTCTTGTGACCATGAAGAGCATAGTGACCATAAAGTGCACAGTGAGCATGAAGAGCATAGTGACCATGAAGAGCACAGTGAGCATGAAGAGCATAGTTAGCGTGAAGAGCACAGTAAGCATGAAGAGCACAGTGAGCGTGAGGAGCACAGTGAGCATGAGGAGCACAGTGAGCGTGAAGAGAAATGTGAGCATGAAGAGTACAGTGATAGTGACCATGAAGAACACAGTGAGCATTAGGAGCATAGTGAACGTGAAGAGCACAGTGAGCATGAGGAGCACAGTGAGTATGAAGAGCACAGTGAGCATGAAGAGCACAGATTGCATGAAGAGCACAGTTTGCATGAAGGGCAGAGTGAGCATGAAGAGCACAGTGAGCGTGAGGAGCACAGTGAGCATGAAGAGCACAATGAGCATGAAGAGCACAGTGAGCATGAAGAGCATTGTGACCATTAGGAGCATAGTTATCATGAAGAGCAAAGTGAGCATGAAGAGTACAGTAAGCATGAAGAGTACAGTGAGCATGAGGAGCAGAGTGAGCATGAAGAGCATAGTGAACATGAAGAGCACGGTGACATTAAAGAGCATAGTGAGCATGAAGATTCTAGTGACCATGAAGAGCATAGTGAGCATGGAGAGTACAGTGAGCATGAAGAGCACAGTGAGCGTGAAGAGAACAGTGCGCATGAAGAGTACAGTGAGCATGAAGAGCACAGTGAGCGTATAGAGCACCGTGAGCATGAAGAGCACAGTGAGCATGAAGAGCATAGTGACCATTAAGAGCATAGTGATCATGAAGAGCATAGTGAGCATGAAGAGTACAGGAAGCATGAGGAGTACAGTGAGCATGAGGAGCAGAGTGAGCATGAAGAGCATAGTGACCATTAAGAGCATAGTGATCATGAAGAGCATAGTGATCATGAAGAGTACAGGAAGCATGAAGAGTACAGTGAGCATGAGGAGCAGATTGAGCATGAAGAGCATAGTGAGCATGAAGAGCACAGTGACATTGAAGAGCATAGTGAGCATGAAGATTCTAGTGACCATGAAGAGCATAGTGAGCATGGAGAGTACAGTGAGCATGAAGAGCGTGAAGAGAACAGTGCGCATGAAGAGTACAGTGAGCATGAAGAGCACAGTATAGACCGTGAGCATAAAGAGCACAGTCAGCGTATAGAGCACCGTGAGCATAAAGAGCACAGTGAGCATGAAGAGCACAGTGAGCGTGAGGAGCACAGTGATTATGAAGAGCACAGAGATTATGAGGAGCACAGTGAGCATGAAGAGCACAGTGATCATAAAGAAAGCAGCGAACATGAAGAGCACAGTGATCATAAAGAAAGCCGCGAACATGAAGAGCACAGCATGAGCATGAGATGAAGAGCATAGTGAGCATTAAGAGTCTTGTGACCATGAAGAGCATAGTGACCATGAAGTGCACAGTGAGCATGAAGAGCATAGTGACCATGAAGAGCACAGTGTAAGCATGAAGAGCATAGTTAGCGTGAAGAGCACAGTGTAAGCACAGTGAGCATGAGAGCACAGTGAGCGTGAAGAGCACAGTGAACAGGAGTACAGTGAGCATGAAGAGTACAGTGAGCATGAAGAGCACAGTGAGCATGAAGAGCACAGTGAGCATGAGCTCAGTCAGCATGAAGAGCACAGTGAGCGTGAGCATGAAGAGCACAGTGAGCATGAAGAGCACAGTGATGAAGAGCACAGTGAAGAGCACAGTGAGCATGAAGGAGTACAGTGAATGAAGAGCACAGTGAGCATGAGCATGAAGAGCACAGTGAGCATGAAGAGCACAGTGAGCATGAAGAGCACAGTGAGCATGAAGAGCTCAGTGAGCATGAAGAGCACAGTGAGCATGAAGAGTACAGTGACCATGAAGAGCACAGTGAGCATGAAGAGCATAGTTAGCGTAAAGAGCACAGTAAGCATGAAGAGCACAGTGAGCATGAGGAGCTCAGTGAGCATGAGGAGCACAGTGAGCGTAAAGAGCACAGTAAGCATGAAGAGCACAGTGAGCATGAGGAGCACAGTGAGCGTGAAGAGATCAGGGAGCATGAAGAGTACAATGAGCATGAAGAGCACAGTGAGCGTGAAGAGAACAGTGAGCATGAAGAGTACAGTGATCCTGAAGAGCACAGTGAGCGTATAGAGCTCCATGAGCATGAAGAGCACAGTGAGCATGAAGAGCACAGAGAGCGTGAAGAGCACACTGATAATGAAGAGCACACTGATAATGAAGAGCACAGTGATTATGAAGAGCACAGTGAGCATGAAGAGCATAGTGAGCATGAAGAGTCTAGTGACCATGAAGAGCATAGTGACCATGAAGTGGTCAGTGATCATGAAGAGCATAGTGAGCGTGAAAAGCACAGTGAGCATGAGGAGCATAGTGAGCATGAAGAGCACAGTGAGCATGAAGAGCATAGTTAGCTTGAAGAGCACAGTAAGCATGAAGAGCAGAGTGAGCATGAGGAGCAGAGTGAGCATGAAGAGCACAGTGAACATGAAGAGCAGAGTGAGCATGAAGAGCACAGTGATCATGAAGAGCACAGTGAGCATGAAGAGCATAGTAAGCATGAAGAGTACATTGAGCTTGAAGAGTACAGTGACCATGAAGATCACAGTGAGCATGAAGACCTTAGTGATCATGAGGAGCACAGTGAGCATGACGAGCATAGTGAGCGTGAAGAGCACAATGACAATGATGAGCATAGTGAGCATTAAGCGCATAGTGACCATGAAGTGCACAGTGAGCATGAAGAGCACAGTGAGCGTGAAGAGCACAGTGAGCATGAATAGCATAGTTAGCGTGAAGAGGACAGTGAGCATAAAGAGCATAGTGAGCGTGAAGAGCACAGTGAGCATGAAGAGCATAGTTAGCGTGAAGAGCACAGTGAGCATGAAGAGCACAGTGAGCATGAGGATCACAGTGAGCATGAGGAGCACAGTGAGCGTGAAGAGCACAGTTAACATGAAAAGTACAGTGAGCATGAAGAGTACAGTGAGCATGAAGAAAACAGTGAGCATGAAGAGCACAGTGAGCATGAAGAGCTCAGTCAGCATGAAGAGCACAGTGAGCATGAAGAGTACAGTGAGCATGAAGAGCACAGTGAGCATGAAGAGCACAGTGAGCGTGAAGAGTACAGTGAGCATGAAGAGTACAGTGAGCATGAAGAGTACAGTGAGCATGAAGAACACAGTGAGCATGAAGAGCACAGTGAGCATGAAGAGCTCAGTCAGCATGAAGAGCATAGTCAGCATGAAGAGCACAGTCAGCATGAAGAGCACAATGAGCATGAAGAGCATAGTGAGCATGAAGAGTACAGTGAGCATGAAGAGCACAGTGAGCATGATGAAGACAGTGAGCATGAATCTTTGAAGAAATTAAACTTTGTTAATCTTTGAAGAAAGATTAACAAAGCTTAAGTTGCATTCACTGGAAAGGCGAAGAGTTAGGGGCGACATGATAGAGGTTTACAAGTGGGTGAATGGACATAACAAGGGGGATATTAATAGGGTATTAAAAGTATCAACACAGGACAGAACACGAAACAATGGGTATAAATTGGATAAGTTTAGATTTAGGAAAGACTTGGGTAAATACTGGTTCAGTAACAGGGTTGTAGATTTGTGGAACCAATTGCCGCGTAACGTGGTGGAGGTGGGGTCCCTCGATTGTTTCAAGCGCGGGTTGGACAAGTATATGAGTGGGATTGGGTGGTTATAGAATAGGAGCTGCCTCGTATGGGCCAATAGGCCTTCTGCAGTTACCTTTGTTCTTATGTTCTTATGTTCTTATGAAGAGTACAGTGAGCATGAAGACCACAGTGAACATAAAGAGCATAGTGAGCATAAGGAGTAAAGTGACTAGGAAGAGCACATTGAGCATGAAGAGCATAGGGAGCATGAGGAGCACAGTGAGCATGAAGAGCATAGTTAGCATGAAGAGCACGGTGACAATGAAGAGCAGAGTGAGCATGAAGAGCATGTTGACCATGAAGAGCATAATTACCATGAGGAGCACAGTGAGCAATAGGAGCATAGTGAACGTGAAGAGCACAATGAGCATGAGGAGCACAGTGAGTACGAAGAGCACAGTGAACTTGAAGATCACGGTGAGCATGAAGGTCACAGTGAGCATGAAAAGCCCAGTGAGCCTGAAGAGTACAGTGAGCATGAAGAGCACAGTGAGCATGAGGAGCACAGTGAGCATGAAAAGCACAGTGAGCATGAATAGCAAAGTGAGCATGGAGAGCATAGTGAGCATGAAGATTCTAGTGACCATGAAGAGCATAGTGACCATGAAGTGCACAGTGAGCATGAAGAGCATAGTGAGCGTGAAGGGCACAGTGAGCATGAGGAGCATAGTGACCATGAAGAGCACAGTGAGCATGAAGAGCATAGTTATCGTGAAGAGCGCAGTAAGCATAAAGAGCACAGTGAGCGTGAGGAGCACAGTGAGCATGAGGAGCACAGTGAGCGTGAGGAGAACAGTGAGCATTAAGAGTACAGTGATAGTGACCATGATGAGCACAGTGAGCATGAAGAGCATAGTTAGCGTGAAGAGCACAGTAAGCATGAAAAGCACAGTGAGCATGTGGGGCTCAGTGAGCATGAGGAGCACAGTGAGCGTGAAGAGAGCAGTGAGCATGAAGAGTACAGTGAACATGAAGAGCACAGTGAGCGTGTAGAGAACAGTGCGCATGAAGAGTACAGTGAGAATGAAGAGCACAGTGAGCGTATAGAGCACCGTGAGTATGAAGAGCACAGTGAGCATGAAGAGCACAGTGAGCGTGAAGAGCACAGTGATTATGAAGAGGACATTGATTATGAGGAGCACAGTGAGCATGAAGAGCACAGTGATCATAAAGAAAGCAGCGAGCATGAAGAGCACAGTGAGGATGAGGAGCATAGTGAGCATGAAGAGTCTTGTGCCCATGAAGAGCATAGTGACCATGAAATGCACAGTGAACATGAAGAGCATATTGAGCGTGAAGAGCACAGTGAGCATGAGGAGCATAGTGACCATGAAGAGCACAGTGAGCATGAAGAGCATAGTTAGCGTGAAGAGCACATTAAGCATGAAGAGCACAGTGAGCGTGAGGAGCATAGTGAGCATGAGGAGCACAGTGAGCGTGAAGAGAAATGTGAGCATGAAGAGTACAGAGATAGTGACCATGAAGAGTACAGTGAGCATGAAGAGCACAGCGAGCGTGAAGAGAACAGTGCGCATGAAGAGTACAGTGAGAATGAAGAGCACAGTGAGCGTATAGAGCACCGTGAGTATGAAGAGCACAGTGAGCATGAAGAGCACAGTGAGCGTGAAGAGCACAGTGATTATGAAGAGGACATTGATTATGAGGAGCACAGTGAGCATGAAGAGCACAGTGATCATAAAGAAAGCAGCGAGCATGAAGAGCACAGTGAGGATGAGGAGCATAGTGAGCATGAAGAGTCTTGTGCCCATGAAGAGCATAGTGACCATGAAATGCACAGTGAACATGAAGAGCATAGTGAGCGTGAAGAGCACAGTGAGCATGAGGAGCATAGTGACCATGAAGAGCACAGTGAGCATGAAGAGCATAGTTAGCGTGAAGAGCACATTAAGCATGAAGAGCACAGTGAGCGTGAGGAGCATAGTGAGCATGAGGAGCAAAGTGAGCGTGAAGAGAAATGTGAGCATGAAGAGTACAGAGATAGTGACCATGAAGAGTACAGTGAGCATGAAGACCACAGTGAACATAAAGAGCATAGTGAGCATAAGGAGTAAAGAGACTATGAAGAGCACAGTGAGCATGAAGAGCATAGTGAGCATGAGGAGCACAGTGAGCATGAAGATCATAGTTAGCATGAAGAACACGGTGACAGTGAAGAGCTGAGTGAGCATGAAGAGCATGTAGACCATGAAGAGCATAATTTCCATGAGGAGCACAGTGAGCATTAGGAGCATAGTGAACGTGAAGAGCACAGTGAGCATGAGGAGCACAGTGAGTGTGAAGAGCACAGTGAACTTGAAGATCACGGTGAGCATGAAGGTGACAGTGAGCATGAAAAGCACAGTGAGCCTGAAGAGCACAGTGAGCATGAAGAGCACAGTGAGCATGAGGAGAACAGTGAGCATGAAAAGCAAAGTGAGCATGAAGAGCATTGTGAGCATGAAGAGCACGGTGACAATGAAGAGAATAGTGAGCATAAAAAGCACAGTGATCATGAAGAGCATAGTGACCATGAAGTGCATAGTGAGCATGAAGAGCACAGTGAGCGTGAAGAGCACAGTGAGCATGAAGAGCATAGTTAGCGTGAAGAGCACAGTGAGCATGAAGAGCATAGTTAGCGTGAAGAGCACAGTAAACATGAGGAGCATAGTGAGCATGAAGAGTACAGTGAGCATGAAGAGTACAGTGAGCATGAAGATCACAGTGAGCATGAAGAGCACAGTGAGCATGAAGAGCACAGTGAGCATGAAGAACATAGTGAGCATGAAGAGTAAAGTGAGCATGAGGAGTACAGTGAGCATGAAGAGTACAGTGGGCATGAAGAGTACAGTGAGCATGAAGAGCACAGTGAACATAAAGATCATAGTGAGCATGAAGAGTACAGACAGCATGAAGAGCACAGTGAGCATGAAGACTATAGTGAGCATGAGGAGCACAGTGAGCATGAAGAGCATAGTGAGCATGAAGAGCACGGTGACAATGAAGCGCATAGTGAGCATAAAAAGCATAGTGATCATGAAGAGCATAGTGACCATGCACAGTAAGCATGAAGAGCATAGTTAGCGTGAAGAGCACAGTGAGCATGAAGAGCACAGTGAGCGTGAAGAGCACAGTAAGCATGAAGAGCAGAGTGAGCGTGAAGAGCACAGTGAGCATGAAGAGCATAGTTAGCGTGAAGAGCACAGTGATTATGAAGAACACATTGATTATGAGGAGCACAGTGAGCATGAAGAGCACAGTGATCATAAAGAAAGAAGCGAGCATGAAGAGCACAGTGAGCATGAGGAGCATAGTGAGCATGAAGAGTCTTGTGCCCATGAAGAGCATAGTGACCATGAAGTGCACAGTGAGCATGAAGAGCATAGTGAGCGTGAAGAGCACAGTGAGCATGAGGAGCATATTGACCATGAAGAGCACAGTGAGCATGAAGAGCATAGTTAGCGTGAAGAGCACATTAAGCATGAAGAGCACAGTGAGCGTGAGGAGCATAGTGAGCATGAGGAGCACAGTGAGCGTGAAGAGAAATGTGAGCATGAAGAGTACAGTGATAGTGACCATGAAGAGCACAGTGAGCATGAAGAGCATAGTTAGCGTAAAGAGCACAGTAAGCATGAAGAGCACAGTGAGCATGAGGAGCTCAGTGAGCATGAGGAGCACAGTGAGCGTGAAGAGATCAGGGAGCATGAAGAGTACAATGAGCATGAAGAGCACAGTGAGCGTGAAGAGAACAGTGAGCATGAAGAGTACAGTGATCATGAAGAGCACAGTGAGCGTATAGAGCACCATGAGCATGAAGAGCACAGTGAGCATGAAGAGCACAGAGAGCGTGAAGACCACAGTGATAATGAAGAGCACAGTGATTATGAGGAGCACAGTGAGCATGAAGAGCACAGTGATCATAAAGAAAGCAGCGAGCATGAAGAGCACAGTGATCATAAAGAAAGCAGCGAGCATGAAGAGCACAGTGAGCATGAAGAGCATAGTGAGCATGAAGAGTCTAGTGACCATGAAGAGCATAGTGACCATGAAGTTCACAGTGATCATGAAGAGCATAGTGAGCGTGAAAAGCACAGTGAGCATGAGGAGCATAGTGAGCATGAAGAGCACAGTGAGCATGAAGAGCATAGTTAGCTTGAAGAGCACAGTAAGCATGAAGAGCAGAGTGAGCATGAGGAGCACAGTGAGCATGAGGAGCAAAGTGAGCGTGAAGGGATCAGTGAGCATGAGGAGTACAGTGAACATGAAGAGCACAGTGAGCGTATAGAGCACCGTGAGCATTAAGAGCACAGTGAGCATGAAGAGCACAGTGAGCATGAAGAGCACCGTGAGTATGATGAGTACAGTGAACATGAAGAACACAGTGAACATGAAGAGCAGAGTGAGCATGAAGAGCACAGTGATCATGAAGAGCACAGTGAGCATGAAGAGCATAGTAAGCATGAAGAGTACATTGAGCATGAAGAGTACAGTGACCATGAAGAGCACAGTGAGCATGAAGACCTTAGTGATCATGAGGAGCACAGTGAGCATGACGAGCATAGTGAGCGTGAAGAGCACGGTGACAATGAAGAGCATAGTGAGCATAAAGAGCATAGTGACCATGAAGTGCACAGTGAGCATGAAGAGCAGAGTGAGCGTGAAGAGCACAGTGAGCATAAAGAGCATAGTTAGCGTGAAGAGCACAGTGAGCATGAAGAGCAGAGTGAGCATGAGGATCACAGTGAGCATGAGAAGCACAGTGAGCGTGAAGAGCACAGTTAACATGAAGAGTACAGAGAGCACGAAGAGTACAGTGAGCATGAAGAGCACAGTGACCATGAAGAGTACAGTGAGCATGAAGAGTACAGTGAGCATGAAGAACACAGTGAGCAAGAAGAGCACAGTGAGCATGAAGAGCTCAGTCAGCATGAAGAGCATAGTCAGCATGCAGAGCACAGTCAGCATGAAGAGCACAGTGAGCATGAAGAGCATAGTGAGCATGAAGAGTATAGTGAGGATGAAGAGCACAGTGAGCATAATGAACACAGTGAGCATGAAGAGTACAGTGAGCATGAAGACCACAGTGACCATAAAGAGCATAGTGAGCATAAGGAGTAAAGTAACTATGAAGAGCACAGTGAGCATGAAGAGCATAGTTAGCATGAAGAACACGGTGACAGTGAAGAGCAGAGTGAGCATGAAGAGCATGTTGACCAGGAAGAGCATAATTACCATGAGGAGCACAGTGAGCATTAGGAGCATAGTGAACGTGAAGAGCACAGTGAGCATGAAGAGAACAGTGAGTGTGAAGAGCACAGTGAACTTAAAGATCACGGTGAGCATGAAGGTCACAGTGAGCATGAAAAGCACAATGAGCCTGAAGAGCACAGTGAGCATGAAGAGCACAGTGAGCATGAGGAGCACAGTGAGCATGAAAAGCACAGTGAGCATGAAGAGCATATTGAGCATGAAGAGCACTGTGACAATGAAGAGCATAGTGAGCATAAAAAGCATAGCGATCATGAAGAGCATAGTGACCATGAAGTGCACAGTGAGCATGAAGAGCACAGTGAACGTGAAGAGCACAGTGAGCATGAAGAGCATAGTTAGCGTGAAGAGCACAGTGAGCATGAAGAGCATAGTTGGCGTGAAGAGCAGAGTAAGCATGAAGAGCACAGTGAGCGTGAAGAGCACAGTGAGCATTAAGAGCATATTTAGCTTGAAGAGCACAGTAAGCATGAAGAGCACAGTGAGCATGAGGAGCACAGTGAGCATGAGGAGCACAATGAGCGTGAAGAGCACAGTTAACATGAAGAGTACAGAGAGCATGAAGAGTACAGTGAGCATGAAGAGCACAGTGAGCATGAAGAGTACAGTGAGCATGAAGAGCACAGTGAGCATGAAGAGCACAGTGAGCATGAAGAGTACAGTGAGCATGAAGAGTACAGTGAGCATGAAGAGTACAGTGAGCATGAAGAACACAGTGAGCAAGAAGAGCACAGTGAGCATGAAGAGCTCAGTCAGCATGAAGAGCATAGTCAGCATGAAGAGCACAGTCAGCACGAAGAGCACAGTAAGCATGAAGAGCATAGTGAGCATGAAGAGTACAGTGAGCTAAGAGCACAGTGAGCATGATGAGCACAGTGAGCATGAAGAGTACAGTGAGCATGAAGACCACAGTGAACATAAAGAGCACAGTGAGCATGAGGAGTAAAGTGACTATGAAGAGCACAGTGAGCATGAAGAGCATAGTGAACATGAGGAGCACAGTGAGCATGAAGAGCATAGTTAGCATGAAGAGCATGGTGACAATGAAGAGCAGAGTGAGCATGAAGAGGATAGGGACCATGAAGATCATAATGACCATGAGGAGCACAGTGAGCATGAGGAGCATAGTGAACGTGAAGAGCACAGTGAGCATGAGGAGCACAGTGAGCATGAAGAGCACAGTGAGCATAAAGAGCACAGTGAGCTAGAAGGGCACAGTGAGCATAAAAAGTACAGTGAGCCTGAAGAGCACAGTGAGCATGAAGAGCACAGTGAGCATGAGGAGCAGAGTGAGCATAAAGAGCATAGTGAGCATGAAGAGTACAGTGACCATGAAGAGCACAGTGACCACGAAGAGCACAGTGACCATGAAGAGCACAGTGAGCATAAAGAGCATAGTGAGCATGAAGAGCATAGTGATCATGAAGAGCACTGTGAGAATGAAGAGCACAGAGATCATGAAGAGCATAGTGTCCATGAAGAGCATAGTGATCATGAAGAGCATAGTGAGCATGAAGAGCACAGTTATCATGAAGTGCACAGTGAGCATGATGAGCACAGTGAGCATGAAAAGCACCGTGAGCATGAAGAGCACAGTGAGCATGAAGTGCACAGTGAGAATAAAGAGTACAGTGACCATGAAGAGCATGGTGAGCATGAAGAGCACAGTGTGCATGAAGGGCACAGTGAGCATGAAGAGTACAGTGAGCATGAAGAGCACAGTGAGCATGAGGAGTACAGTTGAAGAGCACAGTGATTATGAAGATCGCTGTGAGCATGATGAGCACAGTGAGCATGAGGAGCACTGTGAGCATGAAGAGCACAGTGATCATGAAGAGCACTGTGAGCATGAAGAGCATAGTGATCATGAAGAGTAGAGTGAGCGTGAAGAGCATAGTGATCATGAAGAGCACAGTGAGCATTAAGACCATAGTGTGCATATAGAGTTCAGTGAGCATGAATTGCACAGTGAGAATGAAGAGCACAGTGAACATGAAGAACATAGTGAGCATGAAGAGCACATTGAGGATGAAGAGTACAGTGAGCATGAAGAACATAGTGAGCATAAGGAGCATTGTGAGCATAAGGAGCATAGTGAACATTAAGGGCACAGTGAGCATCAAAAGTATAGTGAGCATGAAGAGCATAGTGAGCATGAAGAACTCAGTGAACATGAAGAGTTCAGTGAGCATGAAGAGTTTAGTGAGCATGTAGAGTACAGTGAGCATGAAGAGCACAGTGAGCATGAATAGCACAGTGAGCATGAAGAGCAAAGTGAGCATGAAGAGCACAGTGAGCATGAAGAGCACAGTGAGCATGAAGAGCACAGTGAGCATGATGAGCACAGTGAGCATTAAGAGTACAGTGAGCATGTGGAACACAATGAGCATGAAGAGCACAGTGAGCATGAAGAGCACAGTGAGCATGAAGGGCACAGTGAGCTTGAAGAGTACAGTGATCATGAAGAGCACAGTGAGCATAAAGAGCATAGTGAACATGAAGAGCATAGTGAGCATGAAGAGCACAATGACCATAAAGTCCATTGAGAGCATGAAGAGAACATTGACAATGAAGAGTACAGTGAGTATGAAGAGCATAGTGAGCATGAAGAGCACAGTTACCTTAAAGTCCATATTGAGCATGAAGAGCATAGTGAGCACGAAGAGCATAGTGAGGATGAAGAGCACAGTGAATCATGAAGACCATAGTGAGCATGAAGAGCACAGTGAGCATGAAGAATAAAGTGAACATGAAGAGCAAAGTGAGCATGAGGAGCACATTGAGCGTGAAGAGCAAAGTAAGCATGAAGAGCACAATGAGCATGAAGATCACAGTGAGCATGAAGAGCACAGTGAGCATAAAGAGCACAGTGAACAAGAGGAGCACAGTAAATACCATAATCAACTGCTTGCCATTCTCCCAGGGAATATTGGTCTTCCAGGAACCAATATGAGCAGCAGATTTATAGGGCGTTAGGTGACTGGGCTCTCTCTCAGCTGGGCATTCAACTGTGGCATGGCTCCTCTTGATGATGTCGGAAATTTCATTGTTCCTCGAGTTCCATCCCCCTTTGCTTTGGTATAGTAGGCAATGGTGGCAGTACCTGTTGGCCACCACCTCGCCGCAAATAGTCCTATATATGGTGTTAATTGAAGTATCAAGGCGGAGAGCCACAACAATTCAAAGGGCGTGTGGTGCGAGACGTATGCCAGTTGCCGACATTACATACCCGCTTGAAGTGTGAGGGGAAAACAATCTTGGTCCTTCCTGAGTAGTTACAGACTGGCTTCCTGCTGGTGATGTTACACAACTCATCATCATCACCTCCCTACGTGCGCCGCTACCTCTTCTGCCTCGGCACATAGCAGCTACATGCCCTTTCTGCCCACAGGTCCAGCACACCATATTCCTCCTCGGACTCCGGTGTTTCGGACTGCTAGGACTTGTCCTTCGAGGGCTACTTGGGGGCGTCTTCTTAGCGCTTCGTGGGACGGGGGTCTCCTCTTCGTCATGAGGTTTGTCAAACCGGCGCTGGTAATTCCTCGGGACATACTTAGCAGAAGGCCTGTGCGTCAGGATGTATTCCTCGGCCATGGTGGCTGCCGCACTCAAGGTCTCCACCTGCTGCTCTTCTAAGTATGTCTTGAGGTCTCCAGACAAACAATCCTTGAAGTCCTCTAACAGGACGAGCTGCTCGAGGTCTTCTTTGGTCTCCACCTTCCGAGAGGTACACCATTCCTGGAAAAGTCGCTCCTTGATTGTGGCGAATTCGGTGAAAGTGTGCTCTGAGGTCTTTTTCAGGTTCCTGAACTTCTGCCTGTAAGCCTCAGGTACCAATTGGTACGCCATGAGCACGACCTTCTTCACCTTGTCGTAATCGCCGGAGTCGTCAAGGGATAACGTGGAGTAGGCGATTTGGGCCTTCCCAGTCAAGACTGACTGTATCATGATGGCCCAATTCTCCCTTGGCCACTCCAAAGAGGCAGCGACTTTCTCCAAGGCTGCGAAGAACTTCGACACTTCCTTCTCATTGAATTTGGGGACCATTTTGATGTTCCTTACCGGATCGAAACTGCTGGTGTCCGTTGTTTGCCTCCGACCACCGCCTAATCGTAATACTTCTAGTTCATGTTGTCTCTGTCTTTCGTTTTCTTCTCTCTCTCGCTCTTCTCTTTCTCGTTTCTCTTCTCTCTCTCGCTCTTCTCTTTCTCTCTCTCTCTCTCGCTCTGCTTTCCTTTCTTCTAATTCTAAACGCCTCATCTCTAATTCCTTTCCTAATCTCTCTCTTTCAATTTCTTGTCTTTCTCTTTCCATTTCTAATTTCTTATCTTCTCTCTTTCTCGCTTCCTCTTCTCTTTCTTTAGCGATTTCTAGTTTCTTCCATTCTATTTCTCGATGGATCTCTAGTTCACGCATTTTCACAGTAAGCACACTTATATTTAATTCACTCTCATCACTTTCGATATCACTGCTCTTACCTTCCAGTTCAGTGGAAGCTATTTCCTCACCTTCCTTTATACTAGGAGTCTCGCCTTCCTGTTTCTCTTCTGCCTTCAAATGCCGGTGAACCTTGGACAAGATCTCCACACGGGAATCACTGGCACGGATCTTGATCTCCAGGTAGGTGCTCACTAGTACAAGTTCCGGTTTGCTCAGATATTTTAATCTGGCAAGACAGTCCTCTCTGTTCAGAAAAGCCTGAACATCGTCCAGATCATCGATGGTAGCTTTTTCTGCCATTGTCACAGATGGAACACTTAGCACTTAACACACCGTTTTCACGTTAGCACTTAACGCACAGAGCACTGTTCTACGTCGATATTGCACTTTATCGCTCCTGGCGCCTCACTTGCCAATATTGCACGTAATTACTTCGGGCACCGCACTACACAATATTGCACTGAATCCCAGCGAACCCTTCGCTCTACAATATTGCACCGAATCACGCCGAGCACCGCACTACACAATATTGCACTTAATCGCTTAATCACAGCGAGCACCACACTGCACAATAGTCGCACTTAGTCACTCTGAGCACCGCATAGTACGTATAACGTCCCAATCGTCACACACAGGGGGAATTATTTACAGGGATTACGCCACTTCACCACCCCTGTCAAACATACTTAACAAGGGGACGGATCCCGCTGGGGATGCCATTTATGTTACGGCCCTCTCGGGTCGCAACTGGGTTCTTACTTTGATGTCGTTAGAGGAAGGGTATCCGGCCCCAAGCCAGTAGTGGCTTTCAAGGGATGAGATCCGTAACGCAAGTAAAATAAAAGGGGAAGGGAAAGAAAGGCAAAAACTTAATATTATAATTAACACCGCCTCCAATAAATAATATATAAAAGGTTACTCAGGGGGAGGGGTATTAACAGTGCACAGGGGAATTATATACACGGTCGTCTTCTCCTGAAGACTCTGGATCCTCTCGGTGCCAAGTTCTCGGTGCTCTCGTGGTCTCTCGACGAATCCTTCGTCAAGCTGAGTCTACCCCGGACACAGGCCAGCCAAAACACAGTTCCACTGGGGCACCGCCGTGGAGGCCGTCAACCACAAGTCCAGCAAACTGCTGGCAGGTTCCGGATCAGCAACGCTGTTCAGGCCACTCCACGAGCGATACTAGGGTAGCGCCCTAGTCAGGAGCCTCGTGTGATACCACAGATCACTCTCCTGTCCACGATACCCCAGTGGTCAATCGTCTCCAACAGTCGGTCCCGGGTACGACAATCCTTCAACTGCCACTTCACTGGCAGGGTAACACCACAGTGTTCCTCAGGGAGGCGACTCACAGCTGCTGCAGCAAAGCACTTGATGTGGGGACGGCTGCCTTGGGTAGACTGACTCAACTTCCCTTACAGCAGTCCCAGGTCGACTCTGTAAGCAGACACGTCATCAATAACAGGGACACACTAAAGCACCTCACTTACAGGCTCAGACACAAACGCCCACCTATCCACTCCATAGATGGCGTTGTCGTCTGAGCACCACCTCACCAGAGGTCAGCAGCGGCTGTGTTGTGGGCTGAACAGGACTGGAAACTGGCCTTCGTAGCCAGTACGCCTCGTCCTCACCAGATGTCGTCGTCCATTTGGAGGGGGTTTCGGGAGCTGACCCACAGATGGCGTGGTCGTCACTGCTCCGTGCTCGGACGCTGGATCCGGGTCCGTAACAATGTACTGGCTAATTGTTCTGATTCAATTATCCTGTGTAAATGTTCCAACCTGCCTTGAGTTTCTTCTTCATATTGTGCTAGGTCAGACAGGAATGGTTCCACATCTTCAACTACTATGTCGTCGTCGTCGTGGACCTGATTTTGGTAAGATTTCCTATTTGCTTTCAATATATGCAATTGGGTTTGAATCTGTAACAGTGGTATTTTCAACCGACGATAATTAATTACAGGCTCATATAACAACTGTTCATATTGGTCGAGATCTCTTGTCAGTTGACGTTTACTTGCTACTAAAGCGCGCTTTGCTTTCTTTGGATTAGTCATGGTGACTTGTTAATTGGGCACCACTGGCTCATAAATTGTGAGCAAGTACTAATGGTAGCCTAGGGTAAAATTCTACACTCACTAGGCAATAATCCTACCTCTACTAGAGGTTAGCACTTAATATTAATACACATTATATATATACAATCATACACACTAATGATTTGAGTGATAAACCAGTGTCACTGGAAGTACCTTTAGGTTAGCTCTTCTATATCACCCTAGGATGGAATAGACACTAATTAATCACTCAAAGGTGTAATGATCTTAAGTAAATTATTATATATACAACTCAACTCGAGTTGATAAAAATTACACCCAAAATAGGGTCTGGACCATTCATTAATGGTGTTAGGTTGTTCAACATAGTACAACTGACTATGGTAATAATGGGACTAGGATGAACAATAAATAGTTCAACTAGTCCCTGGTAATATCCTTCCCTGTTGTGGGTTGGAAATTAGTAAATATTATATTGAGATCACTAGTGCAATATATATTAAATAATTCTCTATTTTGGAAAAATAATATACACAATTATTGATAATAGCCTCTTAATTAGCCTCTATGAAACTTCTAATATTATCAAGAAGTATTAAATATTATTAGTGACCTCGCGAAATAAACTCCACAAAATTCGTAGATAATCTCTCGCGAAATTTAACATCACGAAATCCGTGAACAATCTCGCGAAACCACAGCCACTACTTTG